GATTTTTTTTAATCAATTGAGCGCTTTTTTTAAAATTTTTTTTTTTTAAAATTTGAATTTTATTAATTATAATATTTTTATTTTCCTTTTCAAAACCATATTGATAAATCTAATATTATGGTGCTATTTTTCACTTGTGTTGTTAATAAAAAAATAAAAAAATTTGTGCATTTATTATGTTTTTTTTTAAAAATCAATTTAATTATTTATATATTAGAAAAAGGTTATTTTGGGATATTTAATTAACTTCTGAATGTTACTTTTGATAAATAGTCTTTTGGGTTAAGGATTTTGTCAAGACTCCATATTCATCATACAGTTGGTTTGTAGTTCTATCAAATTTAAAATATTTGTATAATCTTGTAGAGACAATAAATAAAACATCATCTGCCATATTCTCACCTGGACAAGATCTAGGACCTGATGAATAAGAAACATGAGATGCAGTGGAAGAGGGATGTCTCTCTGGATTAAATGTATTTGGATCATCAAATTCGATTTCATTTCTATTAGCACCATTAAGATTTGGAATTATTTGTGTATTTTTTGGGAAAAAATAATCATGACCATTAAAATTAACTATAGTATCCTCTGAACAGATATGTGGAAGTGCAAATGGAGCAGTTTTAGCAAATAAATAAATAAATAAATAAATTAGTATATTAATATAAATAAAAATTTTAATTGAAACCAATATTATTTACGTGGAGAAATTCTTAAAGTTTCATTAATGACTGCTCTCAAAGGAATTTAAAAATATTTAAATATAGAATATAAAATATGTATTGATAACTTCTTAACTATGAAGAATATAAATAATATAAATTATAATGTAAAATGAATTTTATCTTTTTTCTTCTTTTCTAAAAAGATAAAATTCATTTTAGAATTTATAATAGATTAATAGTGGGGCTATATAAAAGTTCTTATTTTCACATGGAGGAGTGTTAATTTTCTCGTTATTTCCCTGATGAGTCTCCTCTTTTACTATTGCTTGAAGCACTATTTGAACTACTTCTCAAACCACCATTTGAGGTGCTACTGGAACCACCATTTGAAACAATATTTGAAGCACCACTTGGAGCACCATATGATGGGCTACTTGAGCCACTGAAGCACCACTTGAAGAACTACTTGAGCTACTTGAATTACTACCACTTGAAGAACCACTTGAACCACGATTTGAAGAACTATTTCAACCACCATTTCAACCACCATTTGAAGCACTATTTGAACCACCACTTGAAACCATTTTTCAACTACCATTTGAATATCAACTTGGATTTTCTAATATGATTTCAACACGTTTGGAGAATTGAAGATGCCGCTTTTAATATAATGAACCTAATTATTAATAAATAAATTTTTATTATATGTTTAAAATTAATTTAAAAAGTATAATATTTTACATACCATTTCTGTCTATAAATTATTGATACTTGCTGCGCTAATACCCAAATATAATAGACCAATATCATTACATACTAATTATTTACCCATAAATACTGATTGAAAAAAAAAAAAAAAAAACCATTTTTTTTTCATTAAAAATATCCAAAAAGATATTTTTCAGTAATAATATCTTTTGTAGATTGTTGATTTGATTTTCAGACCTATCTAAAAACTTCAAAAAAAACATAAATTTGAAAAATTATTTTTTATTTTTTATTTTATATACCCTTTAATTTATTTATTTTATATTATTTATTAAAACACTCAATATTTGTATTTTTACCTATTTATTAATCTATATTAAAATGAGCAAATTTACTCCCTTAATCTATTATCCATCCACACAAAAAGGTAAATATAAATAAATTGATTTTACAAAAATTTATATCTAATATATATTATTAATAATTAATAATAGCTAAACCAACTGATACCTCTGGAAGTAATAAAAATGGACAATCAACTCCAATAAAAAAAGTTTTTTATTTATAAACTTTTTAAATAAAATCATTATTGATTCATTTTAATTTTAACTTTTTTAATTATAATTTAGAAATTAAATTATTTGTATTATTATTTGAATTATTATTTGTGTTATTAAAAAAAATACCATGTCTACCTTGACCTTTTTTAAAATTAATCGAACCTTTTTGACCTTCCTCAGATAATGATTTAATTCCCAATCTATATTCGTTTTCTAGTGCTTCATTTGCATCTAAGTCCCATTGTTCTATTGCAGACAACCTATCTCTTCTTAAACATTTTTTTGGGAATGATGATATTAGCTTTGCTAATTCTATGGAAGATTCTAGTACTTGATGTACTTCCACAACCCTATTAACCAAACCTATTTGTAAAGCTTCATCAGCTAACACTTGTCTACCGGTTAGAATTAAGTCCATTGCTCTTGAGTGTCCAATAAGTCTTGGTAATCTAATTGTGCCACCATCAATAAGAGGAACACCCCATCTTCTACAAAACACACCAAAGATACTCTTACTTGAAGAAACACGTAAATCACACCATAGAGCTAATTCCAAACCACCAGCAACACAATAGCCACTAATTGCACATATAACGGGTTTGTCTAGTTTTAGTCTGGTGCACCCCATTGGTCCATAATCAGTTTCTTTGGGTGATATTACTTTGTTTCCATTTTCAAATCCATTGGACAATTCTTTTAAATCTGCACCTGAACAAAAGGAATCTTTGCCTCCATACAATATTGCTACATCTAATTTATCATCTTTGTTAAACTCTTTAAATATTGAATATAATTTATTTGCTGTTTTTTTATCAACTGCATTCCTTCTATTATTTCTATTTATTTTAACTATTAAAATATTATTATTTATTATTTTAAATTTTAAATTATCTGAATCATCATTATTATATGTATAAGCTTTCATTGTATTTAAATTTTTACAACAAAGTTGAATTTCTCTGTTGTGAGTATTTAAAAAATAAAGTAAAAAAAATTTAAAAAAAAAAAAAAAAAAAATAATTTAATTTTTTTTTATGTTTAAATTAAATGAACAAAAATATTTTTTTTAAAATAAAATTAATTAAAAGATATTTTTAAATTATTATAAATTAAATAAATTTGGTAAAAAAAAATGAATTTAAATTGATATTAGGTTGTTTTATTTTCTAATTTTATTTTACATGGTTTTGATTTTATTTTACTTTGGAATTAGGATCTTAATTCCAATAATTTTTTGATTGTATCCAATGAGTTTTGGCATTGTTGATCTATAAATGAACGATTTACACAATAATGGATTTCATTTTCGGTTGGTGTTGGGGAGGAGGCGCCATCAAATTGATTTCTCACTTCGAAATTAAATGATTCTTGAGTATCAAAATTAACTGGACAATCAAATCTGTAAACAAAGCAATCGCTTTCTTGTTGTAATTGTCTAAAGTCATTAAATAATCCAAATGAGTTTTCTTTGTTTATGTATGATTCATAGTTTTTATAAAGGTTGTTAAAATCCCTACTACTATTGCTTGGACTACCACTGATGTTTTTGATACTGCTAATATATTGATCTACTTTATTGTTTGTTTCTCTATTTGAGATTTGATAACTCTTTGATGATTTAGGATCGTAACCAGAGCCAATTGAAACTATTAGTAATTTACTATTTGGGTATAGGGATTTAGCTTCATTGTATGCAAAACATATTGGAGTGTTGTAGATGGTACCACTGTCATAATATACATTATTGGTGTCTTGGAATTGGTCGAATACTGAATCTATTGGCAAAGATGTTCTTTGGATATCGAATACCTTGCCCTTTACTTGAATGCTTCTTTTATTTTCATAATTTGTGTATACTTTAGCAACCCTTTTTTTTGTTTTCTTATTTTCGCATACACATACCACCAAACCTTTTTTAGTTGGTTCACAATTTAGTGATAATGATGATGATGATGATGATGATAATGATGGTGAAAATGATGGTTGTTGTTTAATTGGTGAGTGGGTTGGTGATGAAGATGGTGAGATATTTGATGCAATAACTAATGGAATATTGTTGCTTTCAAAGAATTGAGCTAAATTATGCTTGAATAAGTTGGCACTTGTAATTGAGTTATGTAATAGTACACTGACTTGGGAGTGTGTATTAAATACTGTTGATTTTTCTGAAAGGGATTCATTTGATTTGATAGAATGCTCTTTTCTAGACATACATTCATATTGTTTAATTAACTTTTCATTACTAATTGATTTATTGTATTGATTTGATTTAGAGTGTACAATAAATGACCCACTAGCAGTAGATGCAATTAAGTCATTTTCTTCTGTTAAATCTTTTTTTAAATAGTCTTTGATTTTATTTAAAATTTGAATAGAAACTAAATTTCTAATTGAACCACCATCAATACATAATATAATTTTTATGTTATTATTATTATTATTATTATCGTTCATTTTTTAATTATTGCACTATTGTCTAAACTATTTTATTAATATTATTATTTATATGAAAAAAAATATTAAACAAAAAAAATAAAAAAAAAATAAAAAAAAAGTGTGGTGGTTTTTTAAAAAAAAAAAAATTGATGAAAAAATTAAAAATAAAAAAATTGAATGTGTGGGTCACCCTGGCATGGTGATATTTTTTTAATTTAGCTTTTTTAATAAAAAAAAAAAATAAAAAAAAAAAAAAAAAAATTGTAAAAAGGTTAATAATGATTGATTTTAAATATTTATTTATTATTAAATTTATTTAATTAAAAATTATTTATAATTATTATTGTTTTGTATTTATTGCTTTAAGTCAATTAATTTTTTAATATTTGAAAGTGATTTTTTGAAATTATTATTTGGGTCATTTACATAATCTTTAACAGATCTTTCCATTTCTTCAGCAGCTTTATCAGAAGAGTCATGAAGATTAATTGGGAATTCTAATTGGCAATCGAAACGATATGTAAAAATATCAGGATCGTCACGGTGATCCAACAAGAATTTACTGAGGATTTCTGATGTCTTTGGCATCTTTAAGTATTCTTTATAGAGACGGTATAGGTTTTTAGTTAGGTCGAAAATGCTACCAACCATTTGTTGAGAACGTAAAAAGGGCTTTCCTTGAGAATTTAAAGAGTTTATGAAACGCTCAACTTTGCTGTCAGTTTGATCGTTTGTGAAATGGTATTGGACACGCTCTGATTTTTGGTATCCGGTACCCAATGAAATGAAAAGTAGTTTTTTATTTGGATATAATGCTTTGGCCTCTATTAATGCGATTGGTAAATTACAGTTGTACTGGAAACCACCATCGTAATATATATATTTACTGTTTTCATATTGATTGAAAAGACCTGGAATTCCAGCAGTTGAACGAAGAATATCGACTACGTCGACATTACTGTCATCGTGTAAATGTGTTGATGGATTTTCATAGTTTGCAAATACTTTGGCGCTCTTTTCATGGCTGCACTTATCTTCTGCTACAGTGACTACAAATCCTTTACGATGTGACATATCTCTACCTGCAAAATTATCCTTTAATGATTTTATTAATTCTTTTGTGCTAAACAAAGTTCCTTCTGAAATGATATTATGCATTACATCCATTGCAGATGATGGAAATATTTTTTTTCCAAATTTTCTATACATATCCAATAATTCATCATTACTAACATCATATAATTTTGAATAAGCCAAAATACCACCGGTACTGGTACCTGCTATAATATGACATGTTATACCTAAATCTAAAAATTAAAATAAAAAAATTAATATTTTGAAATAATTTAAAAAGTATCAATAAATTTATATTACCTTTTTCTAATAATTCTTGGATCTCTTTTAATAATAAAATTGTTAAATAACCTCTCATACCACCACCATCCAAAGAAACAATTACTTTAACTAAGGAATCATCACTATCATCCCCAATTAAATAAAATTGTTTTTCAACTTCCTCAACATTGATATTATTGTTTTGATTTCCATAAAAATAATTTGTAAACCAATTCATTTTTTATAAATAAATATATTCTGTTGAATTAAAAAAAAAAAAAAAATTATAATTTTATATGAGGGGTATTTATTTTAATTTGAGTTTGTTGTTTTTATTAATTTTGATTATTATTATTATTATTGGTATAAGTATTATTATATTGTTATTATTACAATTTGATATATTAAAAAAAAAAAAATTAAATAATTGAAATATTAAAAGTGTAGTTATAAAAATGTTAAAAATGGTACAATAAAAAAAAAAAAAAATTTATTCTTGGGTTCTTGTTTAAAATTTAATCAAAAAAAATATAATTTATAATTTAATAATTATTAATTTTAAATTAAATACCCAGTTTAAATATAAATTTATTTTTTTTTAAATTTTTTTTTTTTTTTTTAATTTTTTTTTTTATTTTTATTATATTTTTGGGAGTTGGGAAAAGTTAAAAAAATTTATATTCAGTACCAGTGTTTCACGGAACTAAACAGAAAAATTAATAAAACAAAAAAAATACTTATTAATTAAAATATAATAACTTATTTTATTATTTTAATATATTTTTTATAAAATAATATAAAAATTTATAATTATAAAATATTTATATTATTTTATTTATTATGAAAAAAAAAAAAGTAAAAAAAAATAAATTGAAGAAACTGGTTAAAAATATCCTCTTTAAATTTTATTGATATTTGATGATAGGTTTTAAATTTGGTGTTTTAATAGGTGGCTTTTATTAATATTTTTATAGAGCTATTTTTTAAATTTTTTTATATTCTCTTCTTCTTTCTTTTTCTGTCATAGTCACTATCACTTGAATCGCTACTATCACTACTATCACTTGAATCACTTGAGTCACTACTACTATCACTATCACTTGAATCACTGCTATCACTGTCACTGCTTGATTGTACTTTTTTAATTGGTTGTTTTGGTGCATTTTTTAAAAATTCTCTCAAATCGTGAGTTAAAGCACCTAATGAAATTGAAGTAAAGAAATTGATTGCATATCTTGTATTTTTTGGGTTATCTTTTGGAAATATACCACTGAATGATTCCTGTAATAATGGATCTTGTAAACGTTCATTTAATTTTTGAATACCTAAAAACTCGGCCATCTCTTGGAATAAAATTTTAATGAAAATACGACTTGCAGAGTTGGTTTCATCTTCGTTAATGTGTATATATCTAAAGGTGGTCCATGGTAATGCATCGGTGTAAAAGAGATGAGCATACATTTTAGCGATGTTTCTAAATCTATTGGTTTCCAAACGATGGATTACAGCATATTGCTCAGCAAAGCAACGATCAAATAGGTCACGATATATTTTATTAATCATACAGAAACGTTGTGATAAATTGCCATAGAATGGTAAATAGGTTCTTTCTTGACTACAACATTGAATTAACATATTACATACTTCATCTTCGTGTCCTTTGATTTTAAGCTTTAATAATTTGTGTGCACACTCCTCAAAATCTTTACTTGACATAATCGCTAAATAAATGGTCTTTCTCAAATTGATTAAATTGGTATCTGTTTGATCTTCGATTACTTGCAAATTGACAACTGTACCTGCTGTACTTGGAGGTGGTTTATATTTTGACTGATAAGCATCATCTGATGATGAATCATCTGAATCATCTGAATCATCGGATGAGCCACCCTCCTCTTCATCACCTTCTTCATCTGAATCGCCTAAAATACTTCTTTTAATTTCTTTATACTGTTCTTGATGCTCTAAAAACTTATCGTCGGCCTTAAAGAAATTAAGGGAATCCTCAACGTTGTGGGTGTCTTCAATTGATAATGACTCGTGAGTAATTTGGTCCTCAAGTTCTACAACATCCAACTCTGATTTCAATGCTGGGTGATTTGCAAAATTGCCTCTAATCTCTTTAAAAAGCTCTTCAATTTGATATTGTGTTCTTTTTGATGTGTCACCTTCGTGGAGAATAGCTTTAAAACGTTCAAAAATACCATTAAATGGTTGTGGAGCACTTTCTTGAATACTTTGGCCACACTCTAAAAAGAATTCAACTGCAACCTCAACAGAGTCATCTGTTGGTTTATCCAAAAGCAATGTTATAATTTCCAATGGGATGAGGATACCACAAACTTGTTGGTTAACTAAATGTGCTATAAATTTGGTTGATGCTATACAAATTGGTTTGTCATTTCTTCTAAATGATTTTTTGAACTGTTCAATTAAACGCTTTAGGAGTAACTCACCATTATCTGGGATCTTTGTGTTTATAATTGCAATTAATGCTGCATATACATTTGTGAACGGTAAAGATACTTGTTGGGCACGCATAATAGATCTACACAATAAACCTCTACCTCTAATTATATTTTCCCCAAATAACTCTACTGCAATATTCTTTACATTTGAATAACTGACCTTATTGATTAAACCATTGATAGATTTTTTTAATGCATCCCATTCTATTCTTTGATATTCGACTGATGATTTATCTTGAATTTGTTTTTGCATCATTGCCAATTTAAATGGGGGTATGTAAACTCCGCTGGCTCTTTCTTTGTTTAATGCATCTTGAACTTTTTCGTCGACTTTATTGGTTGTTGCTGAAGCTGTTGTTGTTGATGTAATTTTATTTGATTTTGGTTTATCACTGTCTCTTTCTTCACTACTTGATCTTTTACTATCTCTTTTTTTTCTATCTCTTTTTCCTTTTCTTTTTCTTCTATCATTATCGCTATCACTATCACTATCGCTATCACTATCTGATGAATCTGAATATTTCTTACTTCTTCTATCTCTTCTATCTCTTCTATCCCTTCTTTCTCTTGAATCTTTTTCTTTTTTTCTATCCATTCTATCATTGTCGCTATCAACATGTCTACCTTTTTTTTCTAATTCTCTATCTCTAGAACGATCTCTTGAACGATCTCTTGAACGATCTCTTGAACGATCTCTTGAACGGTCTCTTGAACGGTCTCTTGAACGGTCTCTTGAACCTTTTTTTTCTAATTCTCTATCTCTGGAACGGTCTCTTGAACGATCCCTTGAACCATCTCTCGAATTTCTTTCTTTATCTCTTCTATCGTATTCTTTGCCTCTTTCATTACGATCTCTTCTAGAATCGTGCTCTCTATCTCTAAAACGGTCTCTTGAACGGTCTCTTGAACCTCTTTCATTACGATCTCTTCTTTCATAATCTCTTCCATTACTATAATCTTTTCTATCTGACTTTATTTGATCATTTTCTCTTTCATTTAAAATTTCTCCATCTTCATTATTCATTGTTAAATATATATAAGTGGATTTATTATAAATAAATGATTTGATTATATTTTTATAAATTTAATTAATGAAATTAATGTAAAAAAAAAATAAAAAAATGAAAAAATTTTTTTTTTATTTTTGTTGAAAAAAAAAAAAAATTTATTATTTTAAAAATTTCAACAACTAATTTGAAAAATTTCAATATTTAGTAATAATAACTACAATAATAATAATTATTACTTCAATTGTATTTATAATTTGAATATAACTAAATTATTTAAAATAAAAAAAATTAAAAAAAATTCTAAAAAAAATTTAAAAAAATTAAAAAAAATAATTTTTTTTTTTTTTTAATTTTTATTTATAATTTTTCCAAAAACGAGATTTTTTAAATATTTCATTATTTCACCATTTATGAAATTTTAAAAATGGATAATACTCCAACAGATACTGTAAATAATAATGATATAATTCCAGAATCAACAGCAACACCAAACACCACTACAACAGAAAATAATGTTAATAATAGTAATTTAGCAACTGAACCAAAAGTAACCATTGTACCAGATGATGAATCAATTTTAAAATTTGTCGATACCAATTTAAAATGTGAAAAAGAGTCATTAGATTATCGTAATATTTTATTCAGGGTTAAAACATGCTTTGATAGATATATAAAGAAGGATCATTTGGATATTGTATCACCATTGCATAGCAATGGAGTTTGTCCAAGATGTATATTCAGATTCATGTCAATAAGAGAATTTGCATTGTACCAAGAAGAGTATTTACATTTAATACATTTAATTCATTTTATGATTCACTATCAAAAACATCAACCATCAGCATCGTCAACATCATCAACTGCCACCAATCAAGATAAAATGGACACTGAATCAGTTGAAGGTGAAAATAAAGAAGAAAAACAAGAATCAAGCACTACAACTGCTGCTGCCGCTGCTGTTGCTGCACCAATAGAAATTCCACCATATGATCCAAATTCAGTAGAGCTTAAGAATTCAATTTGTGTTTGCTGCCTTGGTATTTTACAAGATACAAATAATAAAGATTTATTTTTAGAAGAGTTTGTAGATAAAATGAAGAATTGTGGTTATCAATTTAGAGATTATTCGTTAGCACTCTCATTACCAACCTCAACTTTAGTTAGAGACCATGCTATATTCTTTTATCTTAGAGAAAACTACCCAACTATATACCCAAACAAAACCAATTTCTATGAAAAAGTTGTTGAAGTTAAAGAAGGTGTTAAATGGGTATTAGGTCCAATTATTGGTAGAAGATGTAATTTCCAATTTAAACCATCTGTAAGTCTTTGTTATAAAATATACAATAGTAATTTAGAACATTATATTAACCCACCTATTTAATAATACAAAGAGTGATTTTAGAGCAAATATGAACTATATACATGAAGAAAGTAAAGATGATCATTTATTTTTATTTGATGTTCAAGGCAAATCAAGAAAAAAACAAAGAGTATCGACCAAAAGAAACAAATCATCATCACAAGATTCTACATCAACAGTTACAGAAATTTTAGATCATATTTCAATGAAAGATTTTATAGCCAATGGTAATGTTCCACCAAAAGCAGTTTCAACCAAATATAGATATCAATTGACATTTGAACATGCACCAGTTTATCTTTCTGGTAAATATAATAAGTATGTTAGAGATTTACCACAAAGTCCATGGCAATTTGACGATAATGTTAATATCAAATTATCAGTTGAAGAATTAATTACCAAAGATTTAAAAGAACTCTTTAAATGCGATCAAGTTACCTTCTCATCATCTGGTAGAGAGGATGTCGATGTAAGAATGCTTGGAAACGGCAGACCATTCTTTATTGAACTTGTTAACCCACATAAAATATTTTTTAACAAACCAGATTTTGAAAAGCTCGAAGAATCCATCAACGTCAATACATCTATCAAGGTATCAAATTTACAAATCATCACTAAAAAAGAAACAAATATTATCAAAGACTCTGGTGGTACCAAACAAAAAGATTACCGTTGTATCGTTTGGTGTAGCAAACCATTACAACCTTCCGATTTAGATATTTTAAACTCTAAAACAAATATTGCAATCTCTCAACAAACACCAGTTAGAGTTCTTCATCGTAGATCCCTCATGGTAAGAGATAAAAAAGTTGAAAAATTAAAAGCCACCTATATATCACCTCATTTCTTCACCCTAGATATCATTAATGCTCAAGCCGGAACCTATATTAAAGAATTTGTTCATGGGGATTTAGGACGTACAACTCCAAATATTGGTCTATTCTTTGGATGTGATACTGATATTTTACAGCTAGATGTTTTAAATGTAGATTTAGATTTCCCAAAACCAAGAAAATAATAACAAATAATAAATAATAAAAAATAATAGCAATCAATAACAAAAATAAAATATAGTAATATAACAAAAAAAAAAAAAAAAAAAAAAAAAGAATAATTGTTTAATTTTTTATAACTTTATTTTTTTTCAAATTTATAACTAAAATTAAAAATAACAATAAATTTTTTTAATATTTTTTTTTTTAAAATAAAAACTATTTTTAATAACAATCAAAGATTAATAAAAAGTAGTTTTGTTTAAAACCATAGATTTTTTAATAATATTTTTAGATATATAACTAATATTATTATAATTAAAAATAATCTTATCAAAGATAAATTATGAAAATCGTAAAAACATTTATAGATTTATTATAATTATAATAATTGTCTAAATAATTAGTTATTTTTATTCATTATAATAATATAAAAATTAAGATTTAATAAAAAAAAATTTAAATATTTATCTTTTTTTTCTGTTCAAATAATAAAACACGTGCTTGCCTTTTATATTTCAACTCTATAACATTGAATATGTTTGTTTTTGACATAAAGCTTAAATTAGTAATATTTACATTTTTTAATTTTTTAATTTTATTTTTTTTTAATTTTATTTTTTTTTAACACATTTCCAAATTAGAAAAAAAATATAAATATTTTTTACCACATGGACTTATATGACTCACTTTCCTTTTTAAATATTTATTCATTACCACACATTACCACACATTACCACACATAAAAAAATTATTATAATAATTTTAAAAATTATATTTAATTTAAATTTTTATTTTTACATTAATTTAAAATTATAATAATAATAATACATATTTTGTAATTTAGATGATTTTTTTTTAAATAATTAGGCGTTTGTGTGAGTGTGTCCTTTTAGTTTTGTTGACTGTGTGATTAATAATGTGAACTTTCTTCATTTAATTTTTATTTTCAAAAATATTCCTATTTTCAGCATAAAAATGATTATTATAATAAAATAAAATTATATTTAAATTTTAATTATTTTTTTTTTAATTTATATTTTTACTATAAATAATTTTGTTTTTATTTTTATTTATATCAATTTTAAAACAAATCCCAATTTATCCATAAATATTCTCCAAGTAAAACTACTCCATCTATTTATTTATCTATTTTTATTTATAATAATAAATATATGTTTTCATCAATAGTATTATTTGTATCATTTTAATTATTTTCTTATAATTTACTTTTTTTTTAAAAAATTTTAATTTTTTCAATTCAATTTTAAATAATTTTTTTATTTATTTTTATTTATCCATTTTTTTATTCATTCTATAATAACTATATGTATATTATAACTTTTTATTTTAGAAAATGATAGTTAATACCCCAATCAACCAAAATCAGTATATTAAATTACTTGAAGATTATATTGAAAATCCAAGTATATTTAATAACAAAGATAATAAAATCCCATTTAATACACCAAAAAACAACCTTTGTTTATTTGACATTCACGTTGATGAATGGAAAAATCTAATTTCTGATATAATCAATATCAACCCAGAATCAAATAAAAACAATGATATTGATTTTGGCTTCAATGTAAATATATATATTTAAAATAATTTTAAAAAACTAAACCGACTTATTAATTTTTTTTTTTCAGTTTATGTGGGGGAAATTATTTTTAAATAATAAACATTATATTACAAAAGAACTTTTTGTAAGAAATATGGAAAAACTTTATAAAGATATCGAAATGGGTCTCGGTGAAGAATTAGAAAAATCTGCAGTCGAATGGTTAAATAAAAAGCTTTCGGGTATTCATAACTGTGGTAATCATTTTAATGACTTATTAGTTATTTATATGAACAAACAGTGTAAAGTTTATGGAAAGAAATCAAACCTTTTAAACAAATACCAACCAAAGCCACTATTAGAAAAATACTTAATGCTTAGTGATGAACAATTAAAGTCAACCATCATTCAACAATTCAATTCTTTCAAATCATTACTTGAAGAAACAATTCTTTTTTCCTCATCAAAAATGCACTCTCATCTTTTTGGAAACCTCTTATCTATTTTAATGTTAATCTACTCAACAGCAATGAGAGATTCAATTCACTACGGTTTATCTTGGGGTCTAAGCAAAGATTTATTAGAATAGTAAGCATATTATATAACCAATTTTTATATAAAATTATTGATATTAACTTTTTTTTTTTTTATTTTTTTTTTATAAATAGTAATGAAGAATTAGACCAAGATAATAACACTTTAAAGGAACAATTACATAGATCTATTATGGATTTCCATAAAAACATTGGCGAATGTTGTAATAAGTTTTGCTTATCTGCCATTAGACCAGCCACAACCATTATCCCATGGATGAACTTACCATTCAACAGTCATAACATCTATGGTCGTATTAATGAGTTAGATTTAGTACAATACCCATCACCAGTTCAAAGATTAGGTGATGAATATGGATCAACAATTGTCAACTGCCAAGACGAAAAAGGAGTTGTTAAAACCTTCAAAGTCCCACCACACTTTTTTAACAAAAGCCATGGATCAGGTCACATCGATTGTGTTAGCGGTTTTAATCCAGTATGGGAAACATTCCACACAATAGGTGATTTCATTAACTTTAATATTATCAGGGATGGTGGCAGTAAACCAATCAATTCCTATTCAATTAGATTACATCTCTCCTCGTTGTATGAAGGCGACTCTTATTTAAGAGTTAAAGTTGGCTCATCTGATGTTCAAACAATCAATACTAAAGATTTAGATAAAAACCTTACTAGTTTCCAAGTTATGAATTTCAAGATGCTTTATAACATCAACTTACCATATGGCACATCTCAATTAGAAGGTAACAATTTAAATAACCAAAGAATTTTAGATTTCAAAATTTTTGATATTTGCAATGTTGTTATCAATTCAATCGATATTACTTTAGAATAAATTTCAAATCAACTCTTTGTATAGAAGTATATTTATTTTATAAAATATTATAAATTATAACAATTTTAATAAAATAAATAAAAATAAATCGAATTGTTTTTTTTTTAGATTAAAAATTTTTTTTTTTTTTTTTTGTTTTTTCAAAGCTATGAAAACTTTTCACCCAAAAGAAAGAATCTTATTGGTCTTATAAAAAATCATAATAAAAAAATCGTTTTTTTTTTTTTTTTTTTTTTGATGGTGTTATTTTTTTTATGGTGATAACCATAATTTGATTTTATTTAATATTTAAAGTCATCAAGGAGATAAAATAAAAAATGATTAATTTATAAAAAATAAAAAAAGTAAAAGGAAATTTATTAAAAAAAAAAAAAATAAAAAAATGGTGCAGTATGCATTTTGCATTTGGTGTATGCTGAAAATTACATTGAGATATGTGATTATAATTTTACTATAATTTTTAAATATAGTTTTTTTATCTAAAACCAACTTCAAAAAATAATTATCATTGTGAAAAAAAAAAAATAAAATGGCCTTCACGAAATTTATTATAATAAAAAAGAGCAATACAAAACACACAAAGTAGGGAAAAAAAAAGAAAGGAACAATAAAAGCGAATAATAAAAAAAAAAATAAAATAAAAAAAAAAAAAAGATATTTTGCTTGAATTTGGCAAATAATATGAAAAAAAAAAAAAAGAATTTTTTTTTTTTATAAAATAAGATATTATGTCTAATCCCAAAGAAACCAAAGAAAAAAAAAAACTTTGATTCTTAACACTAACCGGTTTACAGTCTTTTCATAAAATTGAAAAAAAAAAAAAAAAATAAAATTTTATTTTTTTTAATTTTTTTATTATTTTTTATTATTTTTTTTTTATTATTTTTTAAATTTTTTTTTTTTCAATTTACAATAAAATACATACACGCACTATCATACAATCTAAAATATAGATATTAGTTTAATATTTATTTTTTTGTTTAATATTAATAATAATTATAGTTATAATAAAATAATATTAAAGCTAAAATTTTAAAATAGTGTGTTGTATTTTATAATATTTTAAAATAATAAAAAATAATAAAAAATACATCTCTATATTTTTTTTTAATATTGTTTCATTTTGTGTTTTTACATATATATTTTTTTTTTTTTTTTTAATTTTTTGTGTATTATGTGTATTAATATTGAATTGTAAAATAAAATCATAATCATATCATTATCATTATCATTATAATAAAAAAAACAAAAAAAAAAAAAAAGTCCAACAACAACAATTTTTCATATAATATATAATATCGAGTAACTTAAATCAAACACCATACAACCTTTGAGTATATATAAATAGCCAATTTATAAATACAACATCAACAACATATCTCTCACCCTTTCACACACAGAGACACACCACACAAATTTTATCAAAAATTAAATTTTCAAAAAATTTTTTAAAAAAAAAAAACAAAAATTTTTTGAAAAAAATTACACATTAGATTTAAAAAAAAACAATAGAATTAAAATTTTTTTTTCAAATCAAAAATAATATATAATATATAATATAATATAATTAATAAATAAATAAATAAATAATAAAATGAGTTCATCAGCGAATAATTCACAAACATCACAATCACCAGTTTCAATGTCACTGCCAGTGCCTTCATTGTCATCCTCTTCTTCATCATCAGAAAAAACTAAAGAAAAAGAAAAAGCAAAAAAGAAATTAGCAATTTTTTTAGACCAAAGTTTAGATTCATTTAAAAGATTTAAAGGTTTATCATCATTTATTGGTATGTACGATTTAACACACGATTATAAACTCTGAAAGATTCTAATACTTTTTTTTTTTTTTATTATTATAGCAAATTCTGATGAAAATGAAATAGATAAAGTTTTTAAAGAAAATTCATATCAAGTGTATCAGACAATGTTATCAACATTTTCGTCATATGAATTGGGCACATATAAAGGAAAACAAAGTTATGCAGAAAAAGAGGTATTAAAATTAATGGAATTGTTAAAAAGAATTTTAATACATTTGGAAGGATTTGTAAAAAAAGGGTGGCAAGTTAAATCTATAGTTAATGTATTGGAGAAGATGCTAGGTATTGAAAACGTTCAAAACATTAGAATGTCAGGTTTCTCTGTATTATTTATATTTCTAGAAGTAATGGAAAAGCCAGATAAATATAAATTAGAGTTGTTTGCTACTGCTATCGATTTTACTCCATTCACAGCAGATTACACCTCAAAAATTACATTTGCCAGAAAAGTATTTAGCGCCGCCACAGAATTAAAGAGATTTATTGTAATGCAATCGCCAGATGTCCCATCAAAAGAAGATGCAACTAAACTTTACGAACAAATTTTTATCCACATTGAAAAGAAAATTAATACAATCACATTACCAAATACATCTAATAATAATAACAACAACAACAACAATAATAATAATAACAATAACATATTAAATATATTCAATTTTTGGTTTGAATTAATCAAAATTCATTATTTACCAGTACTTTATCCAAATATATGCAAACAAAATTCACTCATACCAATCGATGATATCACAGGTTTCGTTAGTCATTGTCCACATGAACTCCAAGTCGTCACAATTAATTATATATGCACCTGGGTTTTAGGTAATAAACAAATCAGAGAATACTTTTTAAATCAAGATACCAGCTCATTGTTAATTGGAAGTGGTATTGGTGGCAGTAGCTTAAATCTCGCAGCTTCTATTGCAAATAATGCAGCAGCCTTAAATAGTTTACCAAATATAGTACCAGGCAAAGGAAACATTTCAATATTATTAGAAATTTATAGACAAAGTTGTAGATTACCATTAAAATATCATGAAGTTATTAAAAAATCAATTTCAACTTTTAAATACTTATTTTTGGTATGTCTATTTATTTTTTTTTAAATAATATCATTATATGTTATTAATATAAAACTTTATTTATTATCTATAGGAAAATACAAAAGATTTAGATTTAGGCGAAGATTTACCAATTTATCAAACATTTATTTTTAATGAAATGTTACATGTTTTTGAATTGGAATCACAAAATTTTGAAAAAGAAAGAGAAACCATTGGTCAATATATTATTGAAAATGTTTATAAATATATGATTGATCACTATGAACAATTAAAACCAGAACTCAAAGAGATTGTATTATTGGCTATGCTTCAGGGATCAGTAACATTGTTAAGAAAATCAAATCCAAATAAATCAGTAAGTACATCATTAGAGCAAGCAATTGTATCGACCACACTTTACGGTTGGATAAAATCAAAAGAAGTCAATAATAAGAAACTCTGGGACCAATTCCATCAACAATTTGAAGAACTCTACCACAGACCAGAGGTTATTAAACAAATTAAATCCAAATTATTCCAAGTAACATTAGTACTCAAAGAGCTTATATACCCACTCTCTCAAAGACTTATTACAAAGAAACAAAAAGATGCTAGAAATACAGCTAAAGGTGGTGAACCAAGATCATTGGATCACCAAGAAGTACCATCAGAGCCACCACAAGATCCAGCCATTCACCAAGCCATTCAATGGGATGTAGAAACCTGTAAAGCAATATGGCATTGTTTACTTGACCTCTTTAAGAATCTTCAAAAGATTAAAGATCCAATGATCCACGAATTGGCCACTCATATTCTTGTTGATATTGTTGACCTCTTTATTAGAACCGAATTGGAGGTTGAATTTTCTGATTACTTGGACGAATCAAAACCAAGACATCTTTCTCTCTTTAATATTTTTGGTTCAAGATTATTCGATACTTATCAATTGGACAGCAAATACACAAAGAGTAAAGTTTTAGCTTTGGGTTGTCTCTGTAGATTAGTATGCCGTCATCATCCACAATATCCAGTTTCAATTTTATCACATTTCTATAGTGTTATCAATTCAGCTATGATTGCTCCACCATCAAACGGTATCGATTTATCATGGTCAATTATTTTAAATAGTAGTAATATTTTTAATTTATCAATACCAGGTTCAAATATTTTAATACCAACTTATTTATATAAAATTAAGGTTATTGTAAGTTTAAATTTTTTATAAAATAATAATAATAATATTATGTGCATATAAAATATTAATTTTTTTTTATTGATTTTTTTTATTAATTAGTTAACATTAAAAGGTGAAGTTTCTGTACCATTAGAAGTTAGAAAGAAATGTATTGTAATCTTAAACTCTTTAATTTTTTATCCAAATCAATTCCCAAATATGGATATTTATAATCAAAGAGAAGTTAAAGGTAAATTATTAGGTAATGATTTGACAATGGCAGAAATGAAAAAGGATATTGTCGATATTTTACACATTACATTAAAGAGTGATAAAAACTCGGAGAATAAGGTAATTTGTGTCTGGGGTCTTTCAGTATTTTTAATGGAAGAATTCAATTGTACTTATAATCAAGATTTAATAAACGAAATCGTAGATGCCATTACTTCACATACTCTTATTATGGATACCGCCGTAGCTAGAGCTGCATTGGATGCTCTCTCCTCAATCGGTTTAATCTTTAATAAATTGAATAAGCAAACTATCCAAAAGATTTTAATTCCACTTTGTTCGAGTATTCTTAAAGTTTTACCAGAAATAGAGGCTGGCACATCATCAATAGCCGAGGTTACCATTGCAGGCCACTATCATTGTCTCTTAGATTGGATCTCTTTGGATAATAGTATTTTTGAAGATTCCTATTTCTCTGAATTCCGTTCTCTTTTATTCCGTTGTATCGAAGAGGGTCTTGGTTTGAAGGACGAAATGTGGAGCACCAATTCCATCACTAACCTTATGAAGTTACAACAACAAGAGGTCATTCTTGCTCCAATGGATCCAAAAGATTTGAAACAAGCCACAAAGAATTTAACAATTAGAAAGAATATGGTTTCAAAGATTAGTGACACTTTTAAAGGTGACAAGAGTGACAAGGCAAACGCAGCAGCTTCAGCTTCTTCCCAAGCAGAGGATGATCAAGATTTTTCAACTAAATTTGTTATTATTCACGATGCATGCGAAACTTTATTAAATCATTGTCTTAATTTCACCCATCACTTCCCATCCAAACAAGGTGCAGAGTTTATAAGTTCAATGATTGACGAAGAAGATGACAAAATGAGTGAAGATCCAGAAGTAACCGTTATCAATAGCAATTCTAATCCAGGTTTATCAAACATGCCATTATTTTGTGTATTAAATGAAAATGCTTTAATTTCTGTCGTCGAAATTCCAAAACCCAATGGTAATGGCACCTTAGCAAGATTGTTTATTCGTGATGCAACTGGAAAATATGTTTGGAATTTTGATTGTGATTATGATTTAGAAAACCAAATTAAAAATTCACCAGTTTCAATGTATATTAATAATGACAGCAACAGCAGCAACAGTGTATTGATTTTAGATTCAAACCAAAATAGTTATCAATTAATAAATAAATATTCAAATGACCCAGAAATAAAACCAGTCGAAAAAGATGAACAATTAAATAACCTATTATCCAAACTATCATCTGAACACCCAGAATGTTTACCACCAAGCGGCAAATTCTTAAACCAACCATTAAATCTATTAAAACCACAACTTGCAGATGTCTTTTTAAAGAACCAAAAAGAATTGGAAGGTTTCATCGAAAGAGAATCATCAACAGAAATGAAGAATCGTTATGCTCTTCCACCATCAGGCACTTCATGGTCAGCAACCATTCCAGATAAAATCAAACCAGTCGTTTCACAATCAAGTCGTTTATTAATGTCTTATTTAGGTTTCTTGGATGTAAATATCTATACCAATAGCATTAGACAGCTAGAATCAACCAACAAACTAAGCAGAGCCCTCACTCAGTTAGATATAACACCAGGTCGTGAAATTTTAAAGATTGGTGTCATTTATACAGGCGAGGGTCAAGATGACCAAAAAGAAATCCTCAGAAATGATCTTTCAAAAGGTTCCGATCTTTATCGTGAATTTGTTGATGGTTTAGGTTGGCCAGTAGAGTTAGAGAAACATCAAGGTTACATGGGTGGCTTGGATCGTAAGAAAACTACTGGTATCATTGCTCCATATTATGCTACTCCATCAGTCGAAGCTATATTCCACGACATTACTTTAATGCCAACCAATCCAACCGATTCACAACAAATTCATAAGAAACGTCATGTAGGTAATGATATTGTAAATATAGTTTGGTCTGAACATATTAGAGATTATAATAGCACAACCATTACAAGTCAGTTTAATGATGCTCTTATCATTGTTTATCCATTACCCAATGGTCTCTTTAGAATTCAAATCTATCGTAAAGAAACAAAAGTACCAATGTTTGGTCCACTCATTCATGGTATGTGTGTCAATAAAGAGTTGTTACCAATTTTAGTTCGTCTTACAGCCATCAATGCTTATAGATACGTTAGACATGCCACACCAAATTATTCAAAACCATATGTTTTAAGAAAATTCCGTATTAAAGAAATTGTTGATCGTTATGCTTCCGATAGAAATTATGTTGACTATATACATTCAATTGGTTCAGGTTCAAGTAATTTCCCTGTACAAATTCCAGTTTCTTCACCAACCTCTACCACTCCTTCAGCATCACCACCAACTACAAATCCTTCAAATATAAATAATCAAACCACACCATCACCAACTACTTCATCACCAACAACAACAACACCAACAACAACAGCAACAACAACACCAACAACATCGCCACCAGCATCGGCATCGGTATCACCCCAACAACAATAAACCTATATATAAAAATAAAAAATAAAAATTATAATAATAGTAATAATAGTAATAACAGAAATACCAAAATTATATAATATATTTTACATTTTTTTTTTTTTTTCTTTTTTTAAAAAAGAAATAGAAATAATATTTATTTAAATAATGCCACTATAATATACCAATCCTCACATCCCTCCTACTTTTCTAATACCATAAGCAATAACAACAACAACCAATATAATATAAAATAAAAATTAAAAAATTATTATCATCTATTTTTTTTTATTATTTTTTTTATTTATTAAATATATTCGAAATAAAAATAGATATTGTATTAAAGGATAATAACAAATGATTCCTTTTTAATTTTGGAGGGTTTTAATTTTATTTTTAATCATTTTTAGATTTAAAAAAAGAAACACTAAAATAGATACACACATCAGTCAGGATGTAAATAACAATTTTTTAATTTCTCCCCGGTTCATATTATAGATTATTTTTTATTTACTCTCCACAAACATAATACTAATATATAAAAACAAATCATTTTGAAATTTATGGGTTATCAATTTTCTCTTTTTAGTTATTATTGGCATAGTTTCTTTTATTATTATTGTTGAATTTGAATTTAATGGGACAGCAGCAGTTATTAGTTTTTTTTATTTTTTATTTTTTCCAATATAAAAAATGTGGATCACAGTTTATCTTTTTTTTTTTTTTTTTTTTAATCTTTTAAATCTTTACAAACATCTTTAAATATTATTTTAATTTTAGAGATAAAATCAAAAAAAAAAAAAATCAAAAATATAAAAACAATAGCAAATAAATAATGCTCTCTATCTCATTTTTTTTTTCAAAACTTGAAAAAGTTTATTAATATATGTTATTTAAAAACAGTTATAAAAATATCAAAACTCATCAAGATTATATTTTTTTTTTGTTTAATCTAAAATGGTTTTTTTTGACAATAATTAAAAGCTGAAAGTTAATATAGTTTCTTATGGCAAATAAAATAAGAGTATTTTTGAGAATTATATATTGTAGGAGAATTTTTATATGTAGTTTTTATTATGTACAAGTTTTTCTTTTTTATTTATATAAAAAAAAGAATAAAAAAAATTAATAAATATTATTATAGAGAATTGTTTTTTTTTTTATACATAATTTTTTTTTCTATAAATAATAATTGGAACCACTTTGGTAATAGTTTTTGATATATTCCCAATCAGAGTCGCTATCGTATGGTCTTCTCTTTGGTGTGATTCTATTTGGGTAGGAATATTCACTTATGGAATTTGAACCGTTACCATTTGAATTAATATTTAAATTAAATAATATGGTTGAATTTGATGAGTTGTTTTTAAAAGTTCCTAATGATTTTAATGAGTCTGTTGAGAATTTAATTAGTTTTTGAACAGTAAATGAAGGAAATGTAAAAAATTGTGAATGGAAAACTTACTTAAAATGGACATTTTTTATTTAAAATATATTATTTAATTAATTTATAAAAAGATAAATTTATACAAGTTTAAAAAAAAGTTGTCTATTTTTTTTATTTTAAAGTACTTTTTTATTTTAATTTGATAAAATAATAAAAAAATAATTTTTTAATTTATATTTTTTTTTTCTTATTTAAAATAATTGATTCAATATTAAACAAAAAAAAAAAAAAAAAAAAAAAAAAAAAAACCATTTAAAAAATCATTTTTATTTAAAAGATTAATTCCATCTAATTCTAAAATATAGTGTTTTCCTTTTCATTATATAATTATATAAAAATTATTGTTATTTTATTTGTAATTATTATTTTTTTTAATTTGTAACTTATTTTTTTTTAATTAATAATTTATTTTTTATTTTAAACTATACTTCATATAATTATAGATTTTTTTTCAAATTATTCTAGCACTATAATTTTAACAAAAGAGCGTGAGCGTGAGAATGAGAGAGTTTATATAAAATTCACATGGATATCATTGGGGTATTTTCATTTTTTTTTTTTTTCTTCTTTTACAATTTTTTTATTTTTTTATTTTTTATTTTTAATGGTAAAAATAACAATAACTATTATATCTTGTTTAATTTATTTTTGTTTAAATTAATATTTTGTAGGTTATTATCAATATCATTATTATTTTTTATTATTATATATACTATTCTATATATACAATGATGATTTTTTTAATATATAATAATTTTTAAATAAATAAAAATTAAAATAAATTATATAGAGACATACAAGCACATGCACACACATATATTTCACTATCTATCACCCACACTCCACTGTTTTAACAAAAAAATCAATATATATATATATTTTTAACCCCAGTTCTAACACTCCCACAAAAACAAAAAAAAAATTTCAAATTATATAATTTATTTTAAATATAAACCGAATACAATATAACCTATTTAACAATTCTCATTTTTCCATTGTGCTAGAATCTCAAATATCTAAAAAAAGTAAATAAGGTTAATGTAGCAGTTAATAACAATATTTTATAGATTTGCAAAAAAAAATTATATATTCATCATTCAATGATGATGTAAATATTGTTTATATATACTTTATGGTTTTATATATAAAATAAACACTCACACAGAGTATAACACAATAATAAAAACATAACACATTTTGTTTGAATCCATTAAAGTAAAATTTTTATATGACATTATTATTATTATATATATTAATTTTTCAGTATATACATTTTATTTAAAAAAGTAAAGATAAATGGACAATAATAATAATTATTTATTTTTTATTGTACATTGTAATAAACATACAGTATCTACATATGGAAATTCCCATTATGTTATATAATAAATTGGGAACTGTTTTTATTTTTTCCTTGTTTTTTAGAAATAATTATTTTATGTTGTAAATTTGACAATATTTTTAAATCATTAAAATTTAAACTATTTATATACACACATTATTTTTTCTCTACAATTTTTTTAAAATTATAAAATAGTATGAGTTAAAAATTCGGTCAAAATAAAATGAGGTATTTACATTTTTTAATGGAATTAATAAATTGATGAAATTTATTTAATTTTTTTATATCATAATTTACACACTAAAATTATTTACTCATTGGGTTTTTTTTTTTTTATAAATTTTACGACAAAGATTGAAAATAATTAATTTTAATTTTATTAACATGTTTGCATTTTTATTATAATGGTTTTTATTTTTTATTTCCTATTTTAACAAAATGTAGATTTTTAGATTTAATTTGCATATAAATAAATATAAGAGTTTTTAGTTTTTTTATTATATATTTCCAATATTTCCACCACATCTATAATATTCATAAATATAGTCATAATCCGATTGTCTATCGTAGGGTCTTTTTGGAGGAATATTTAATGGACCATCGACATAAACAGGACATTGACCCATAATAGAGTTTCCTCCAGTGTTTAGAGTAGAACCATTTGATTTAAAAATCACATTTTTAGAACTGGATTTTAAAGAGCCAAATTGTTTTAAAGAATCTAAATTTAAAAATAATTTAATTGTTAAATATTTATAATAAATATATAAATATAATAAAAGAATAACTTACTAAAAATTGTCATTTTTTATATATATACTTTATTTATAAATATAATTATACCAATAAAAGAATTTCATTTTATATTTAATTTTTTCTTAAAAAAAAAAAAAAAAAAAAAAATTAAAAAAATTAAAAAAAAAAAAAAAAAACAAGTACCTTTTTTTATTTATTAATTATTTATTTATTGGTTTGATTGTAAATATCAAATTATTTGTTATTTATTTTTAGTTTTAGAATTCATATAATATTGGATTTTTTTTTTTTTTTTATAAAACTGTGATAATTTTATTTTTTTAAAAAAAAATCATATACACAACACTTTAAATGAAATCATTTTAACAAAACATTTTTTATTTTTTTATTATTTATTCATAAATTAAATTTTGTAAGTTATTAATAATATTTATAAATTTAATTTACAATGGCTTTAAAATAATTTTTAAATTTTAAAGAAAAATTAAACAAATGACAAAAAATAAAAATTATAAATGAATGAGTAATTTACATTTAATCCCCAAAACATTTAAAATTTAAAACCCCCATGAAAAAAAAACAATTAAAAAAAAAAAAAAAATAGTAATATTATTTTCATTCAATTAAATTATTTTTTTTAAAATAATTTCTTTATCTGTTAAATAATCTATTAAAAGTAAATACAAAACATTTTTTGTTTAAAAAATATATTTAATGATTTTTTACAATGTTTAATAAATGATTAGTTTACCAGGGTTAATTTTTTAAAATTTTTAAAGGGAACAGTAATATTTTTTTTTATTTTATAATAGATAATTGATTTTTTTTAAGTTTTTTTGATTTAAAATTAAGGTTTTAAGATAAATTAATATTTATAAATGAACTTTCGGGAGTACTTTAAAAATGGGTTAATTTTTTTTTCAAAAATTTTTATTTTATTTTTTTTATAAAGAAAAGGGGTTTTATTTTATATTTTTATTTTAATTTTTTTATTAAAAAGGGGTTTATTTTATTTTTTATTATCATTTTTTTATTAAATTCAATAATAATATGCAAAAAGAAATTTATTATACATTTGACATTAACAATATCAAAGACAAAGAGTTTACAAAAGTTTTCGTAGATTGCCCATGGGAAGCAATTAGAAACCCAACCCCAATAGATGAAAGTGAGCATTTACAATGGCTAAAAGATTCAAATTTATTCGATTGTGATCAAGATGCAGAAAATTTTTTCAAAGATAAAACTTATATAATGAGTTCCTATATTAACCCTTTAAATCCAAAAGATAATATTATTTGGGTTATAAGAATGCACGATTTCATTTATATTGTAGATGATTTTTATTTTGAAAAAGGTTTATTAGGAGAAGAATGGGTAATCAATATGTTTGATAGGGATGCACCTCAAGATAAAATAGGTAAAACCTTTTGGAATATTATTGAAGGAATGGAAAAAACAGGAAATAAAAAAGCAGTAGAGCAGTTGTTACATGATACTAAGATTTGGGCATTATCAGTGTTTACTTATAACAAATGTAACATCAACTCGGAATCATCATTCGAATATTATTGCAAGTATCGTTGCTTGGATGTCGGAATGGATTTTGGTTTATCGACTGCAAAGGTTTTTGCAGAACCATTACCAAAAGAAGTTTTAGAAAGCTCAACTTATAAAAGAATCATTTTTGGGTACAACCAAACTCACTCATTAATCAATGATATGGTTTCTTTCGAAAGGGAAAGAAAAGAATCGAATAGAATGGCAAATTATGTTATGGTTCATGCATATAAAACTAACTCAGTTCAAGAGTCTATGTATCATTGTAAACAAATGGTTGAGGGGGTCTTTAATGAAATCAATGTATTATGTGAACAACTAAAAAGAGAATTCCCAGATGTTAGCAACTTGGATTTCCATTTAAATTTAATCAAATTAGTAATCAGTGGGGATAATTATGTATCAAATGATACAACCTACCCACGTTATAATTTAAATCATTAAAAAAACCTCTAATTTATTTTTTAATATAAGAACAATATTTTATCTTTTTTGTTTTAATTTATTTAAGCATATCTTGGGTCATAACATTCGTAAAAACCTTGGATATAACTTGTTCCTGATGTATCATCAAATGGGCTTTTTCTATATACTGGGCGTCCTGCATAATAAGGGCAGGTATCAGATGATATATTGTTACTTTCGGTAATTACTCCAGTTGTTTCATATATGACCATCCTTTTGGAAAAACTATTTGAACCTTTTAAACTTAATGATTTTATTGAACCTATAATATTTATATATTTAATTAATTAGTATTTTTTAATATTTTTTAAAGTTTTATAGAATACCAACCGAAAATTGTCATTCTCTAAATTGTAATTGTTATTTATTATAAAATTTTTTTTTTAAAAATTCTTTTATAGTCTTATTTAGTTTATTAAAATTTAAATTGAATATTTTTGTTCAATTTTTAAAGATTTAAGATTATTTCCATTATTTTAATATTTTTCAAATTTTTGTGGATAAAGAAAAAAAAAAAAAAAAAAAAATATATGCAACACTATCTATATATATATTATAAACCTATGAGTTCACAATTTTGTGAATTTTTTGTAATCTTTTAAAAAAATTGCTAATTTATTAAAATAAAATAAAAAAAACTGATTATTAAATTTAAATCATAGTTTTGATTCTTAAGGATCTATAAAAAGTAAAAACAAATTTAAAATGTTTTAAAAATGATGTAAACGATAAAATAAAATAGATTAAAAGACATTAAAATTGTTTTGGAATGTGGGTAAGAGATAGGTGTGGTAATAGAATTTTTTTTTTTTTTTTTCATAAATTACCAAAATCTATATGAATACACGGTATTTATAATCTTTTGTATCCAGGAAAGTTACAGATTGACAATAAATATTAATTTAAGAAAATTTTTATTAATTTTATTGAGGATTATACAATTAATTTGTTTTTTTTCTTAAAATGGAATTTTTAAATTTGCATTCTTTTCTTTATAATCAAAAATATTAAAAAAAATAAATTTTAAAACAAATTACAAATGTTTTTTCTATATATTAATATTGAATACAAATTGATGAGTTTTTTAATCATATAAATGATAGTTATAATATATACGTTACACAATTTTGATTAAACACAAACACAATCGTGTCAAAAATTATCCAATCAAAATAGTAGTTTTAAATATTTTCATTCTATAATAAATTATAATGAAAAATATTTTTCATATTCATAAATAATAATATGAATTAAATAATAAAAATAAAAATAACAAAAACAATAATAAAAATAAATATAAAAATAAAAATTATAATAATAATGATATTAGTTTTACAAAAAGTTGATTATTTATTTAAAATATTTAAAAATTAAACAAATTTGAAAAATTATAGTGAAAATATTATGGTAAATATATAAAAGTATTACCATATTTTATAAATTATTATTATTGTTACTACTGTTTTTTATGATTATTATATATACAATTTTTTTTTTAAAATATTAAACATTATTATTAATCAAAAGTATAGGCTCTACTACCGTCATTACTATTATCCAAACCTGCTAATTCTGTATCTACATCAACTCTAAGTTTTCCAAAATAATCCATTGTAAAAAAGAAAATTGCAGATAAAAATCCCGCCCACAGTATTGCTAAAACCATGCCTACTAATTGGACCCATAATAAACTTATTCCACCCTATAAATAAAATAATAACATTAGAATAGGTTCAATTTTTTTTTGAATACAATTCTTTGTTTATATTACTTACACCATAAAAAATGCCACCTGGTAAAGTGATTTCAGGATTACGAACTCTACCATGAGTTGCAAAAAATGCAACACTAATTAGACTCCAACACCCTCCAAAAAGATGAATCGCAGTTGAGTCTACTGGGTCATCCAATCTTAACCAGTTTAATAATGCCCATGATGATGCATAATAAACAATACCTCCAATAACTATAATTTTTATAAAAATTTAAATTAGTAAATTATAATATGAATATAACTATTACCAAGTTAATTTTAAAACTTACAACCAATGACAATTGCAGCCCAAGGCTCAATATATGCACATGATGAGGTTGATGATACTAAACCTGCAATTAAACCATTAATTCCTTTAACTAAATCGTAATGTCCTTTACAAATTTTACCAATTGCCAATACAGTTACTAGACCAGTTGCTGCGGATAATGTTACTACAACACTAACTCTTGAAGCAGGGATAACCCTATTCTTTGTCATTCCCATAGAGGCACCCGCCGTATAACCATACCAAGAATACCACAGTATCATAGCACCCAAACTCATGAGTACAACTGAATGGCCAGGTAAGTTTTTCGGTTTACCACTATCCTGATTAAATCTTCCTATTCTGGGACCTAATAAAAAGCTGCCACAAGCACCTGTTATACCAGCGACAATGTGAATTACAGCACCACCTGCAAAATCTACAATACCTAAATCAAATAACCATCCATTTTGACTCCATATCCAATGTGCTACAAATGGATAGATTAATACAGTTTGTACTAATGTAAACAATATATAGCAATGTAATTGTAATCTTTCCGCCATCGCACCTGTTGCTATTGTTGTTGCTGTTGCTGCATAAGCCCACTGTATCATCCAATATGCATAATGGTTATAATCCATTAAAAAATAATTACCAAATCCCATAAATGAATTCGGATTCGCTTTACCAAACGCAAACGAATGCCCCAAACAATAATACGATATCGCGCAAATTGCTGTATTTATAACATTCTTTAATAATATACTTTTTGTATTTTTTGCTCTAACCATACCTGCTTCCAACATACCAAATCCTGCTTGCATAACTATAAAATTCTAAATTAATATTTTGTATAATAAAAAATATTAATCTTGATAAATTATTAAAGATACTTACAAAAAACCAAATTTGCAGCATCCAAAATCCATGATGTATCCATATAATATTCTAAAGAATATTCAGATGAAGATGCCTCATCAGATGATGATGACATTGAAAATTGTTCCATTTATAATTTATACTATTTTTATTTTTTTTATTTATATTTTATTTTATTTTATCTTTATTTTATATTTTATTTTTTTTATTTTTTTTATTTTTTTAAATTATTTTAATTTACTCTAAAATAAAAAAAATATTATTAATAATACATTTATATATCTTAATATTTAAATAAATTATATATTAAAAAATAATAAAAAAATTAAAAAGATATCAAATTTTAAATAAAAAATAAAAAAAAAAAAAATAAAAAAAATTAAATTTTAATGTTTTATTTTTTTTTTTTAAATTTTTTTTTTAAATTTTTTTATCTCGATAAATAGTAATTATTTTCATATTTTAGAATAAATAAACATAGACATTTTTTATTCCCTTTTATTTTTTTTTCGCTATAAAAATTTTTAGCATAAATATTATTATTATATTAATTTCAAATTATATAAACTATGTTACTAAATAATTCTTTATTTAATATAACACAATCTTTAATAAAAATTGAATGTAAATATCTTAATATATATATAGATTACTATTTTTTTACAATTATTAAACTTCACTTAAATTAATATATTTTTTTTTTAAATTTAAAAAATTAATTTTCATTTTTTATTTTTTTATTTTTTTTAAAAATAATATTTTTTGATCTTTTTTTTTTTATTTTTTTTATTTTCATTTAATTATGTATAAATTTTAAAATGACCAAAAAAAAGATAAATAAAAATGAAAGTGTAAATCAAAGTTATACTAGTAATAGCAATAGTAATGGAAAAATCAATATAGCAGATTATTTATTTGGAATATTTTTATTTATTGTAATGTTATTCCACTTGGTAATTTGTCCATTCACCAAAGTTGAGGAAAGTTTTAATTTACAAGCTATACATGATATTATACATCATGGTATATCAAATGATAGAGAGCAATTGGCAAGTTATGACCATTTAGAATTTCCAGGTGTTATCCCAAGAACATTCATTGGATCATTATTAGTTTCTGCTGTAACAGTACCAATAAAGAAGTTTTTTGAAGCAGTTATAAGTGATCCAGAACATCAATATTCAAAACTATTAGATTTGTTCATTTGTAGAGGTGTTTTAGGTTTATTTACAAGTATCGCATTGTTCAAATTTCAAAGGGCAATTTCATGGAAGTTTGGCAGGGTTACAGGTTATTGGTTTTCGTTGATTACTTTGACACAATTTCATTTAATGTTTTACATGACTCGTACACTACCAAATACATTTGCAATGGTACCTGTATTGTTTGCATTGGCTAATTGGCTTAGAGATAAAACAGGTCCAATGGTTGTATGGCTCACTATTGCCATCTTTATTTTTAGAAGTGAGGTATTGGTATTAGCAGGTCCAATCGTTCTATGTTGTTTAGTCGTTCAAAGAAACTTGTCTTTTGGTAAATTTATACTCTTGGGAATTGTAACTGCAGTTCTTTCAGTGGCCACCAGTGTTGGTATCGATAGTTATTTCTGGCGTAGATGGCTATACCCAGAAGGTGAGGTTTTCTTGTTTAATACAGTGGAAAATAAGAGTTCAGAATGGGGAACATCACCATTTTATTGGTACTTTTTAAATGCACTTCCAAAGACATTGGCCTTATCAACCTTATTATTCTTTGCTGGCATCTTCTATGAAGGCAAAAGAGTAGCAGTTTATATTGTTCCAGTATTAGTATTTGTAGGTCTTTATTCAATATTGCCACATAAAGAACTTCGTTTCATCTTTTATAGTATTCCAGTAATCAACATGGTCTCTTCATTGGGTGCCTATCGTTTAACCACTACAGTCAAACTTAACCGATTCTTTAAACTAATTGTCAGTCTTGGAATCGTTGGTATTATAGTTGGCAACTTTCTTTTATCAATGGGATTCCTATATGTATCAAGTTTCAATTATCCAGGCGGTTATTCTTTCATTTCACTTCACAGTCATTTAGGTATAACAGATAGCTCTGGTTTATTTTTATTAAAACAAAACAACGACAGCAACCATCAAAAGTACAAAATTCACATCGATAATTTAGCAGCAATTACAGGTGTATCTAGATTCGGAGAAGTTGCAACCACTAATCAATTTGAATATTCTAAAAAAGAAAGAGATGTTATTTTAACAGATTACACACATATTATAGCACCCAATACAACATCAACAAATAAAGGTTTTATTGAAATAGATTCAATTGATTCTTACAGTTCAATTAAATTTTCAAAAGAATATCCATATATTCAAATTATTAATTTACCATCATTATATATAATGGAAAATGATAAATATAATAGAAAATAAAATAAAATAAAAAATATAAAATAATATAAAATAAAATAATTAAACACTTTAAAGCATTATTATAATTACTCTATTTTTAAAAATTAATTACTCTTCATTTAGTTTATAATAAATTTGCTATTTTTATAATCCATTTAATTGATAATTATTTTTCATTTCAAAAAAAAAGACACAACCCCCCCATTTTACAAATACTTACATTCCACAATTTTGAAAACCACATTTAAAAAATATATTTTTATAATTTAATTTGTTTATAATAAAATAGTTAAAAATAAAATAATGTAAAATAAAAATAAAAAATAAAAAACATTAGAATACAAAATGAAAAAAAAAATAATTATAAAAAAATAAACAAAATAATTAAAATAAAATATTTTGAGCATTGTATAAATGTTTGAAAAAGAAAAGACATTGTTTTAATTAATAGTTTTGAGATTTTAATTAATTTTAGTTTTAAAATAATTAATTAAAATATTAATTAATTAATCTCGAAAAATATTAAATATTTAATATATTATATTGTTATTGGTCTAAATTCTTTATTTTTTGAAAATAAATTATTCATTATTAAAAAACCTCGTTCAAGAAAGATTTTTTTATTGTTTTAAATATTATTATTAATTTTGATTTGAAATTTTTAATTTATTTTACATTTAATAAACTCTAACTGTAAATAATATATATTTTTAAAAACTATCGAATCAATATCAATAACATACCAAATTCGAAACTTAAAAAAAATAAAATTCCCAATCTATTGATTTTATATTTTAGAGGTGTATCTATCAATGTAAGACAATATTCAAATATAAATCCCTTTCTACCCATAATAACAACTACATTTTAACCACATACAATACTATAACAACCAAATGATAACCACCCCAAAAAAAAATTAAATAAAAAAAAACCACATGATATAAAACTTCACACACTTAACCAACACACACCACACACACACCACACAATAATATAAACAACACTTTTTATTTTAAATGTCAAATTAATAACACAATCAAATCATATATAAACCTTCACCCAATCATTTCTTTATATGTTGTAAATAATTATTTAAAACAATACACCACATCATTACACTGTACTATTTCAAATAATATAAATTTATAATAATTGTTTATTTTGATTTTATTTGGTTAAAAAAAGAGAGTGAGCATGAGTGTGTGGTTTAAGATCTATTTTAAAAATCAAACCACATTAAAATAATGATTTTATTTATTATTTACAATAAATAATGATAGGGAAATTTATAAAAAAAAAAAACAATGTGTAAATTTTTAAAACACTTTTCATCACAATCAAACGAGATTTAAAATTTCCTTAAACTTTTTGGTAATAATTAAATAAAGAAATTTTTTATTTTTATCAATTTGTGATATAATTATATGTTTTTTTTATAATTATATCATTCTTTTTGAAAGTTTGTTTTTTTTCATAATTGTTTTTTTTGAATTGATATATTAAAATAAAAATAGAAAATAACTTCATATCCATTTTAAAAAGAAAAACTTAAAATAATGAATATATTAATAAAAAAAAACAATTGAAAAAAAATTATTAAAAATGTTGTCGTGTCATTCTCCATACATATATGTACATTTATATATTTATCATTCTCTAAAAATTGAGGTTATGTTTTTAAAGTGGGGTTTTTTTTTTTTTTTTTTTTTTTTTTTAAATTAAATTTAAATTTGTCTTTTTATTTATGGTTTAGTGTTTTTGGGTTAAATTAATAATTTCATAATAGATTTGTGTTATATGTGACAAAGGAGATTTATTTTATTGAAATGGATGTTCTACCATTCACAAAAACGGAAAGTCAAATATAATAAAAAAAACAATATGTGGTTTAATTTTTTTTTAAAAGAAATTAAATATATGAAATAGTTAATTTCTATATTTGAATTGGTTATAAGTATATCCATTTTTCCATTATTTTCTCAAGTTTATATTTAAATTTTAGTGAACCAATAACAATCATACAAATTTTCATTTATAAAAAAAACTATAAAAAGAAAAAGAAAAATTATTTTAAAATCATTCAATCAAATCATTAACAACTACAAATTAAAAAAACAAATAATTATAATAATATTACATTAATTTTTTATTTATTTATTTAAAAATATATCTTTTATAAAACACAATTTAAAATGTTCAAATTAATAATTTCTTTAGTTATTTTAACCATTTCTGCCTTCTATTTAATTTCAGCTTCTGGCCCATACGATACATTAGCTCAATGCCAAGCTGTATGTAAAGATAACAATCCATGTAATAAAAAAGAGTGTCTCTGGTACTATGGCTATTTCTGCGATATTTCTCCATTAAATTGCGATGACACTAATGCTTGCACTACTGATTCTTGCACTGCTGCTGGTACCTGTTCTAATATTCCAATTAATTGTGATGATAATAATCCATGTACCTTTGATTATTGTCATGGTGCTCTTGGCTGTATCCATGTTACCCAAGATTGTAATGTTGTTGTTCCATGTAATAAAACTGCCGATTGCCAAAGAGGTAAAAGATGCGAAACCTACAAATGTATTTCCGGTAGATGCGATTATGACCCAGTTGTCTGTCCACCAGAACTCCCATGTTCAGAAGGTTCAGGTGCATGTATCAATGCTCCAACCAACTAAAATATTTATATTAATATCATACATTTATTTTATTTCTATTTGATTTAATTATCAAATATTTATTATTTATTATATTTATTTATTCTAAAATTTAAATAAACTATTTATTTAATTATTTATTTACTAAAAAAAACTATATTTAAAAATTCTATTTTTAATATTCATACCTAATAAAAAAGAAAAGGTGGTGTGTGTTAAAACTGCTAATTATTATTTTTTTTTTATTTTTTTTATTTTTTTTTATTATAATGATTTTATTATTTTAATATAATGTATTTAATGTTTATAATAATTTTACAGTTGATTGGATGAATCATTCATAAAGTAATAATGATTTTACAATTTTTTAAATTTATATATTTTTAATTTTCCACACTTTTATTTTTATCTTTTAAATTTCATAATAAAAGATTTCTTACTAAAAATGTATTTTTAATGCAATAATGTAAACCTACATTATTACTTTGCATAGTATTTTATTTATACACACCCCACAAACAACAAAATAAATTATACAGATAATATTGATTGATGAATAAAAAATAATAAAAAATAAATAAAAATATTTGTAAATATAAAAAAATTAAAAAATATAAATATATTAAATATATTAGGGGTGTGTGAATATTAATAATATACAAGTATATAAAAACATAAATGTGTTATATTTTTAAATAAAATCAGGTATAATTATCTTTTGATTTTTTATTTATACTTTGTTTCTATTTCTCTTTTTTTTTTTTTTCTCCTCTTTTTTTATTTAATTCATTTATTAAAATTTTATAGTTTTTAAAATGAATATAAAATATATACTAATATTAATATTTACTACATTCTTGTTTAGTAACTCGAGTGGATTAAGAATTAGAGGTTCATTCGACACTCCAAAAGTATGGAAATATTTAGGTAGATTTGGTTTTAATAAAGGAGGTTATATAGAGTTAAATAGTTTTTGGAGTACAACAGATTCAACAAAAATAGTATTATATTCAGATAAGAATCCATATATTGATGGAATTTTAAAGGGTGATTCAAATGATAATTGTTATACAAAGGTAAAAATAATTATAATAAATGTATATTAAATTTTTTTTTTTTAACATTATCTTTTTTATTTAGGTAAATAAAGGTGACTATATATTTACATTAAAGTCACCCCATATGATATATAACATTTCTCAACAACGTCAAAGATATTGGTACTTTGCAATTGCAGATTGCGATCCAAATATAATTCAACCATTTGATCATTTAGATTGTGAATATGACCTAACACTCAATAACCCTGGCAAAAATATATTTGAGACCAATATATCTTCTGATCAAAAATCCATTCCTATTACACATATTGTATTTTTGGGCATTTATTTTATACTTTGTGCTTTCATTATAGGGATAATTGCCAAACTAAAATCAAAACAATTGAATTTCAAACAAATGTTACTCCTATTACTTACAATGCTTTTTTATATAGTAAGCTTAAGTTTGTCTGTTGTAAATTGGTTTTCTATCCTACATAACAATGGATATGAATTAAAATTCGCCTCAATATTATCAAATGGTATGCACATATGTGTAGAATCTTCTTTAATAATTTATTATTAATTTTTATTTTTTTCAGTATTTTATATTATAGGAAATGGAATTTTCATATTACTCATACTCCAATTAGGTCAGGGATGGGTTCTTGTGTCCAATTATCATTTGATACACCCAATTAGAAGGATTGTAAACTATATAGTATGCATAGTGGAGGTATTTTTAAGTGTTTTCATCTTTATTTTTTATATCTATAAAAAACCAGAATATGACAGTGACATATATTTTTATGATACAATACCAGGGTATATTTTACTAGGTGTTTATATTATCATAATATTTTACTTTATTATTGGTAACATATATGCACATGTCAGATTAAGAACTAATCTAGATTCAAATAACGCACAATTAAAGAAATTTATTATTATATTTACAATTATTTATTCACTATGGCTAATATCAAATCCAGCAATTGTTTTAGTAGCCCATTTTATGGATCCATGGATTAAATATAAAATTATTGTTATTCTCAATCTATCTATAGTAACCATTTTCATTATAATATTAATGGTGATGTTTTTACCAGTTAAAGGTAACTTGGCAATTAAATTACTAAAAAATCAAAGAGATAGTATTTATTTTAATCAAAATAGAATGAATAATTTGTATTAATAAAATAAATAAATAATTTAAATTTTTTTATATATAAAATATTATTTATATTTCTATTTTTTATTTTTTAATAAAAAAAATAAATGAAATAATATCTAAAACTTTTTATTTTTTTTTTTTTTTAAATCTTCAATATAAAAAATATAAAGATTGTATTTGATATGTGTTAAACTTTCTAAATAAGTTTATTTATGTGTGTGTGTGTGTGAAAAATTTAAAAAAGAGTGGTTAAAAGTAATAGGGTGTTAACATATAAGCATTTTGTTTTATTTAAAACTACATGTAATTAATAATTTTTCATAATCCAACGTATCTATCAAAATTTAACCCACCAATAAATATAAAATTATAAAATATATATTTTTCTTTTTTTTTTTTTTTAATTATAAAATATATATTTTTTTTTTAACATTTAATTTTTTTAATAATTTAAAAAAAAAAAAAAAACAAAGAGAAAAAAGAATAAAATATGATTTTAAATTTTTATTATTACAATATTTAAAGTTATTTTTTTTATTTTATCATTTTTTTTCAAAAGTTATGTTTTTTTATAATTTTTAATAATTTTTTTATTTTTTTTTATTCAAAAATATTTATAATTTAAAAAAATGATAGAATATGTACCAAAAGAATATACAATTGATCAAGTTGTTATACCTAGGATTCAATTGATATTTTTATGTTTATATGTAGGGCTTTTAGGTATTTGTTTATATTTTGTAATTTCACAGAGAAAAAATGGTTTAAAATGTGAAATTTTAGAAATCTTTTCTGCAATTCTTTTAACTTTTATAATTAGTTTATCACTATTTATTGCAAATTGGATATATATAATAAGAAATGGTGATAATGAAATTCAATATGCAGATTTATTTGGTAATAGTAGGTATTTTAAAAATTATAATTTTAAAATAAAATAAAATTAATTAAATTTTTTTTTCTAGTTTTTTATATTTTGGGTGATGGGTTGTTTTTATTATTACTGCTCATTATAGGTCAGGGATACACTCAATCTGTTCATTATGGTCAAAATATATTTCAAAGAATTTTAAATTATTTAATTACTTTTTCAATGATTGGACTTAGTTGGGCAATTTACATTATGTATATATTCAAATCAGAAAGATTAAATGATGATAATAGTGCAAATAATTATTTATATTATTTGGATACCATTCCAGGATATATTTTAGCATCATTATATTTAGTAATTATGGGATTCTTTATTTTCAGTAACCATCTTTACCGTCAAGATGAAATAGATGAAAGAAAAAAGAAAATAATATTCATTTTTACATGGGTTTTTATTTCATGGTTTGTAATCCATCCAGTGGTAATCATAGTTGCACATTTCGTTGACCCATATATCAAATATAGAGTTGTTACTATTGTAAATTTATGTGTAAATACTATCTTCTTTTCATTATTGGTTTATTTTTTTAGACCCAAATTAAGCAACCAAACTGGTCACTTTTTATTGGCTGGTGGTGATTTATTCCAAGATGACTATGATGATGAAGATGAAATATTAAGAAACCAAGCTAGCTCAAGTGGAAAGAATGATAAAAAGGAATCAATTTTTAATAGTTTACACAATATGATAAAAAATCATAATAATAATACTACAAATCATTATAATAGTAGTAATAGTATTGACATAAAAGATAATATTAGTATATCACCAAATAATAACAATAACAATAATAATAATAATAACAATAATAATAGTGGTAGTGTTAATAGTAATAATAGTAGTGTTGGTAATAATAATAATAATAATAATAATATTGATTTAAATATAAGTCAATAATAAAAACTAAATAAAGATTATTTTTTTTTTTAAAATTTAAAAATTACAATATAATTTTTACCATTTTTAAATAACTATTTAGATGGATAAATTTAAAAATCTCAATTTACTTTTATATTGAAATTATTTAAATTAAAATTAAGATTTAAAAAAATAAAGATAATATAATTTAAATATTATTTTTAAATTTTATTATAAAAATAATATGTAATAAATTTTGATGTTTAGACGATATTTAAGTGTGGACGGGTAAAAATTTAAAAATAATTTTTTGTTTACTAAAATAATATAATTTCCTGAGTGTGGTAAAAAGTATTTTTTTTATTTTTTTCTTAATTAAAAAAAAGAAACTAAAAGTAAACATTTAATACAATTTTTGCGAAAGATAAAATGATTTTAGAGACAATATTATTTACAAAAATATATACCATTATAATGATACTATTCATTTTTTATATTTTTATTTTTCCTTTATTTAAAAATAAAATAAAATATTATTGTTATTTTTTTTTTCTATAAGGGTGAGTGAGTGTTTTTGATAGTGTGTGTGTGTGTGTGTGTGCTTGTGCTTGTTATATAAAATTAGTAATAATAATAATAATAATAAATATATATATCATTAATTTAAAGATAAAAGGAATGTGTTGTTTCAAAAAAAATTATTTATTATACCAAATTAATATAAAAAATTAAAAAAAAAATATCAATTAAATTATTTTAAACTGTTTTATAAGATAAGAAAAAATAATTTATATTTATATTTAAATAATTTTTTTTATTTTCAATTTAATTTTAGTTTAATTCATTTATTAATTTTTTTTTATTTATAAAATAAAAATAAAATAATCAAATAACATTTTTTTTATTTTTTTATTTTTTTGTTTTGAATCAAAAATAGAAATAGTATTTAAATAATAGAATAATAAAATGAAGATATATTTGTTTTTAGTTTTGGTATTTTCACTTCTAACTTTTTCAAACTCATTAGATATAAATGGGTTTTATTCTAAACCTAGAGAATGGCAATTTATAACTAAATTTTGTTTTCAAGAGAATGGAGGCCAAATAGTAATGAGATTTTTCAACTCTTTTTCAAAAAATACTAAATTATATTTATATTCTGATAGAAATCCAAATTACCAAAGATTATTAGATGATATGCATGGAAATAAATATTCTTGTCAGGAAAAGGTAATTTTTAAATTATTCTTAAATTTAATATATTTAAAAAAAAAAAGTATTAATATATATTATTATTTAATAGGTATCATGGAGTAATTATTCATTCTCACCTTTTGATATTAAAGATGATCAAGGCCCATTTGATTCTCATATGCAAGTAAAAGAAGTTACCCAACAAAGAGATCGTTTTTGGGTTATTGGTATTGCTGATTGTGATTCAAAATCAACAAGCAAATATTATGCCCAATATTACTTCACTCTTTTAAACAACGGAGATAAAATCGATAGTGTATTATCTGCAGATCAACAATCAATTCCTCAATCCCACATGTTTTTCTTTTTATTATACATAATTTTATTTGTAACTTCAATTGTATTTACTATTATACTCAAGAGAAAAGGTTTAGAACCAAAAGTAGTTTTATTCTTTTCATTAGTTGTATTTATTCATTTGGCTTCAATAATATTGTTTTTAACCAACTGGGCAAATCTTATAAGACATCAAACTGAAATTAAATTGGCAAATCTATTTGGTAACTGTATGTATTGTGTTTTTATAAAAACATTTAAATTCAAATATATTAACATTTTTTTCTTCTATAATAATAGGTTTTAATATTTTGGGAAATTGTATTTTTATTTTATTATTATTGATGGTTGGTCAAGGATATACTACAAGTATCTACTATGGTTCAGTCATTAAAAAAATAGTAAATGTAGCTGTGGTTTCACTTATTTTTGTATTAAGCATAATTATCTATGTATGCTACATATATAAATTGCCAGATTATAATAATTATGTATACTTTTTGGATACAATTTCAGGATACGTTTGTCTCAGCTTTTATGTAATAATCATATTCTACTTTATTATAGGTAATCTAATTGCTGGTTCAAAACAAAACGATCCATTAAAAAAGAAATTTATAAAGATATTTACCTTTATATTTTGTGTATGGTTAATTGCACAACCACTAGTAGTTTTGGCCGCTCATTTTACAGAACCATGGGTAAAATATAAAGTAATTACAATATTAAATTTAGTAATCAATTCAATTTTCTTTATTGTATTTTTAGTAATGTTCAGACCAACACAAAATAACCTTGTAGTCAAAATTTTGCAACATGATGAAAAATTAGGTGATAATCCATTGCAAATAAGAGATGGTTATGAATTTAATTAATTTAAAAGAAATATAAATATATAAAAAATATAATAAAAAAAAGATAAAATTATTTTAAAAAAAAAGTATAATTTGTGAATATTATTTTTTATTGTATATCTATTTTTAAATCTTTCTTTTAAACTTTGCTATATCAAATAGGTAGTAAGTTTATTCTGGTACCAATCTATTATTTATATTGAACTTTATCTGTCAAACTATAATTTTGATGATATTTTTTTTTTAATATTTAATCATGTTAAAAATATATTGTATTTTATTTTTATAAAAACTTTTTGTGGGTATATGCATATAAAAGTTAAGATATACATAAAATAATAATAAATGTTGATGGGGGTGATACAAAAAAACTGTGTGTATGGGTGGGTGGTGGGATGTGAAATTGACAATACCATTATTTTTTAAATAATAAATTTTAATTTTAATATTATTTATTTATGAATTTTTTTTCAAATTATATATCTTTTTAATTGGTTGTTTTTAAATTATATATATTATAGTTAACATCATCAATCATGTATGTATATACCCCTTTTGTAATTTTGAAATAGCAAATAATAACTATTTGTTTTTTTTTTTATAAAGTGGTTATAGTGGTAGCATTACTACATTTTCCTTTTTTTATCTCTAGTATGTAAGTAACTCACTATTTTTTACCTTACCTTGTTCTTATAATTTAACAATGATTTTTGGGAAATAACTTTATTACGATAATTCGTAAAAATAACAACTCAATAAAACATTTTGGTATATATCTCAAGTATTAAACTTAAAATTATTATAAATTATTTTAAAAAATAACATTAAAAAAAAATTTTAATTATAAACAATAATGTATATATAAATAATAATTTAATAATAAACTAATAAAAAAAAAAAAAATTTTAATTTTATTTTTTTAACTCTATTATTATTTTATATATTTCTATAAATGAATTTAATATTTATTATATTAATTTTATTAATAAATAATTTAAAAACCATATATAGTTTTCATTTAAATGGGACCTTCGAATTAAAAAATGATTGGAATTATATAGGGAAATTTTGTTTTGATAAACATGGGGTTTTTACAATTAATAACATTAGTTTACCAACAAACACAAACTTTTTAATTTATTTTGGTAATGTAAAAGATATATTTACAACAAACGAAAATAAATATACATGCACCGAAAAAGTAAGTAATTTTACTATTTTAAAAATAAAAAAAGATACTAAAGATTTTTTTAAAAATAGGCTAGTTTAAGTAACTATGTAGTAAAAAATCATGATAAAATTGATTTTAGAGAATTAAAATCATTTTCTGGTATTGATGGATATTATTGGTATTTCGTTATCGAAAACTGTATGTTAAAATCTAATGAAAGTTTAATAGTAAATTATGACTTTGAAATGCATAATAGTGGAGGTCAAAAAGTGGATCAAGAGATTTCAGCCGATTTTAGAATGTCACCACAAATCCATTTATTCTTTTTTTTACTATATTTATTAATAACAATAGTAACCATCACATTTACCATACAATTAAGATCAAAAAATTTAGAAAAAAATATATTGCTCTTTTTTTTAGTGGTAATGATATTTTATTTGATATCATTAATAATAACAATGGATAATTGGATCTATTTATTCAAAAACAATAATAATTTTAATAAGGAAAAACTACTGGCAAGTAATTGTAAGAATTATATTAAATTAATAATTATTATATTTAAACTAATTTATTTTTTTTATTGGGAAAAAGTAATTAATATATTTGCAAAATCATTATTTACCCTTTTAATTTTAGAAATTGGTAGTGGTTGGACGATTTCTATAACAAGCAAATCGAAAATATGGAAATCAATTAATATTTTTATTGCTTTAATAATGATGGTTAGTAGTTGGGCAGTTTATATTGTTTATTGTTGGAAATTACCAGATCAAGGCAACGCTTTTAAATTTTTCGAAAATGTAGGGGCTAGTTTCATCATCACCTCGCTTTACTTTATAATATTCATATACTTTTATATAAAAAGTCATATTAATAGAATAAAAGAAAACGATCCCAAAAAAAAGAGTTTAATGACCCTAATTTATACAATTTTTTCATTTTGGTTCATAGCACAACCGATAATTCTGATCATCACAGTTTTCTTAAAAGAATATATTAGATTTAGGATCATAAATATTCTTTCAAACTCAATAAATTGTTGCTTCTTTTTTGCCCTTCTCTACATATTCCGACCTTCAAATACCTTCTATTACAATCAAGTCAGATTAAAGCAAGATAAAAACTCTTTTTCGGATCCAATAGATGTAAAACCACATTTTTATCTTGACCTAGATCTAAATTTAATACAACCCTAATAATAAAAATAAAAACTATAATATAAATCTTTTTTTTTCTTTTAAATTGCTATCTTTTTTTTAATTTCTTTTTTTATTAATATTTTTTAAGTAAATCGAATAATACTCTATAGTGTTTTTCTGATCCTTCTTCGTTCCACATAATAGAGTCTTTCATAGTCCAACCATGAACACAACCTTGGTAAAGTTCGCTTGTGAATTTATTATTATTTTTGGTTAAGGTTTCTTCTAAAAGTTTAATTTGTTCTGGTGGCATTGATTGATCGTTATCGGCATGACCAAAGTATAATTCAGCTTTGACTTTATTTAATAAGTGATGAGCAGATGTTGGTTCATCTTGAACAGCAATACGACCAGCATGGAAGGAGGCAACAATTTTGACGATATCTGGATAAGCGGCACCAACTCTAACAGCTAAACCACCACCGAAACAATAACCAGTTAAAGCAACACCTTCTGATGTTTTTCTAACTTGCTTTTGTTGATCTAAAAATGCAAAGATATCCGAAAAATCAGAAACCAATTGTTCCTTATCTAATTTACCCATAACTCCTCTCATTTGACAAAGAACTTCACCAATTCTTTCTTTATTTCCAATATTTTCGACATTTTCAATTAAATCTTTACCTTGTCTAAAATATAAATTTGGTGCAACTACATAATAACCACCTTCTTTGGCAATACGATCAACCATTTTATAAATCCAATCTCTTAAACCAAATGCATCCATTAAAAAGACAACTGGTTTTAATGATCCTTCGGCATGATCACCTTCTGGTTGTGATACATAAGCATCACATACCAAACCCTCTTTAACTGGAATTTCGACAAATGGCATTTTAATTCTTTTATATAGATATATAATGGTGATAATAAAAAAAATAAAAAAAAATAAAAAAAATTTATATTTTTTTTAAAAAAATAAAAAAAATAAAAAAAAATAAAATGATGTTTTTAGGTTTTTGTGACATCTGAATAAAAAAAAAATATCTGTATTTTTGACATTTAGGTTTTAGAATTTTATTTTTCTAAAATTTTATTCTATGGACAACAAATAATTACCTTTATCGAAAAAAAAAGCATGGTTATATTAAATATTAACTAAAAATATTAGCGATACATTTGATAGCGCTATGTATACAGTTTGGCAAAACTCATTTTAAACACATACCAAAAACAATACACAATAAAAATTACAGACTTAATATATCATCGTCACTTTTTTAAAAAAAAAAAATAGTGTTTGCTAATAATTTATATGGTAACACTGTTTAAAAACGTGTTTGATAATAATTATTTATATAAAAAAAACAGTGTTCGCTAATAATAATTTTTATTAAAACACTGTTAAAACAGTATTCCAAAAAACAAAGGAGACTGTGTAGGTTTTCTTTCGAGAGAGAGATAAACTCCAATCAAAACCACTCTGCACCAATCAGGTCCAAAATCACTTGCAATTGAACAAAATTCAAAAAAAAAAAACATCTTAAACTAACTAGACCGGTTGTTTCAACCTTACCTCAAACCTAGAAAATATCTCTTTATTGATAATAAACCATTTAATCACTACTTTAAAAAACCTTAATTTTATTTACATTATTACTATTATTTATTTAAATTAAACACAAGTGATATCATAGGAGGGTATTATACTGTTGCTATTATTATAACATTCATTATTATTGTTGATTGGAACCCATGTGCAATTACTTGGTATTGAACATATTTGTTCATAAGGTTCACCTTTTGCACATGAATAGGTGTGTCCATCGCCATTAAATCCATCAGTTCTAAAAATTGAATCTAAAGAGATATATATATTCAAAAAATATTAATATTATTATAGCTTTTAAATGAATAAAAAAGATCTACTTACAAGAATTACCATTACAAGTACCTTCTTGGGAAGGATTATAAAAATAATTAAATGATATTGAATCTTTTGGAACTTGACCATTTATTTTAAACATAACCATTGATGATTGACCATCTGGGAGTGTAAAATTAACACATGTATTGAATGGGTATAAATCTTGTCTAATAATTTCATTATTGAATGTGCAATTGGTACTAAATGATACATATTTACGATTCTTTTTAACACTAGGTTCAATTGTGATACCAAATCCATTCATCATTACACAATAATTAAATGGTAAATTATAACCTGAATAATATAAAACAATTAATAATACTATATTAAAATTATAAAAAAAAATCTTTTAAAACTTACCTATACCATTGGGTTCAGGAGAATTTGCACACCCATTGGTATATTCATAAGGAATTATTGTAATTGTATTTTGTTGCTGTGAATAAACAAGACTGATTAAACAAAATATAACAAATAATAATATTTTCATTTTTTTTTAAATTGTGAATTAATATTAAAAAAAATAAAAAAAACAATAATTAATTTATAATTATTAATTTTTTTTATATAAAAATCAATAAACTATTCCTGTCTACTTTTAAATATCTAAAGAAATTCCATTCTTTGGTTCGTTTTTTTTAAAAAAAAAAAGAAAAAACAAAATTTTTTATTTAATTTTTTTTTAATTTTATTTTTCTCCACATTTTTTTATTATAATTTAAAAAAATTCATATAGCATTTAAATAATTTAATAAAACTATGTATTTTATTTCTGTAATGATAAAAACGTGAATCATATGCAACACAAATTTATTTATTCTTTTTTTTTTTCTTGTTTTTTTTAAATTTTAAAATTGTTAATTTGTGAAATTTTCTTCATAATCTTCAAATTCTACATCTTCATCTTCATCTTCTTCGCTTTCTTCATTCTCTTCATCTTTATTATTAAATAAATATTTCTTTTTTTCTAAATATTCAAAGTGTGCTTTTGTTGGGGAGAATTGAATTGTTCTATTAAATTCTGTAAATTTGAAATCATGATATGGTTGAAATGAAAATGTATCAATATCTTTATAGCTAGGAATTGAATTTGTAAATACAATTTTTTGAACTGAGGCTAAATGTTTTTCATTTGATATGTATTGAAATATATTGTTAATTTGATTAGTTATTGTTTTAGGTTGTGAAAGTTGTAATATTTCGATTTCATTTTCGTCTGATAAACATTCTAAAAATTGAATTAAGGTGTTGATATCTTCATATTGTAGTAAGAATGATTTTAAACCTATTTTGAATGATTTTCCACATGCTTTGTATGATTTTAAGGTATTTTGAAATTGTTCAATTTTGGGACCAATATTTTCATAACACAAGTCGATATAATAAGAGTCAACAAGTGAGTTTGGAGCCAACATCTTTGTCTTATATCCATTTAAAAAGTAAGGGCCATCAACATATATATTTGATACCTTGATATTTTCAATTTTAAATACGTTCTTTGCCTTTAAAGAATCTAAAAATAAATAGTTGTAATACAGTAATGCTCCTTTATCCCAGTCTGTATTGTTATGAAAAATTATTTCTATTTTCTTTCCACTATCGGCTAATTCTGCAATAGATTTTATATTTTTAATAGCTGTAACAGCGAATCTCGAAATTCTAAATATTACTTTTTCTAATGATTTATGGTTGGTCAATGGTTGAATGAAAGAGGTATCTAGAATATGTTCATTAAAGTTTTTAAATTCTATTATTTTGAGTGATGGGAAATTTTTTGAGTTTAATACTGAAAAATCGATATTGTAGATAAAGATTCCCGGAGTTTTGATGAGAACTTTAAGGTAATTTAAATTTTCACTCTTTAATAATGAAAATTTACCAAATAAATCACCCTTTATTAAGGTATAGTTTGGAATTGATAATGGTACATTATTTGAACTATTCATAATGTTTGAAATGTTGCTATAGAAACGTTTGCATACCAAGGCTATATTTAGTTTTTGAAGATTTGTAGTATCATTTTGATTTGAGACCAAGAGTAAAATATCTTGAATGATATGAACTGGGAGATCTTTTTTGTTACTTGTTAGTGGTGATTTAATTATTGGCTTGGGTAGTTTCAAATTATAAACTAAAGATTTTATGCATTCGGGAAAAAGCGGTACAATAAACTCTTGAATAGAATCGATATCCAATTTATTTAAAAAAAGTGGAAGAAATGCAAGGATTACAGAATACTTGGGAGATGATACACCATTAAATACTGATAATGAGTTGATCTTTAAACCTACATTAAATATTTGCTTCAATATTGATCTATCATTGGAATAGTCAAGTATCTTGTCTAAAATTATATGGTACAATACTAACAAATGCTTATTGAATCCTGTTTGATTTTCTATCATATAATTCTCTGGCAAAGTAAATATATAGGCTAGTTCTTTATGTTCCCTTTTATTTACACACATTAAAAAGAATACCTTTGTGAAGAATACTGGTAATAATTGATTTAATCCCGGTATAAACTCCTTCAAACCCTTCAATATCTCTAAAGCTTTCTTCAAATGTGGCTCGGTAGCTAAACTATGGTCATAATGGACCGGTAATATATAACCGAAAAATTTTGAATTGTTTCCAATGAATACTTCAAATTCACCAAAACACCAAGAGTTGTATGCGGCTAGGTTTGGATGATCACACAGCTCAATGATTTTGCTAAATAAAAGTCTTTTTAATAAAATATTTGTAAATTCTACAAAATTGTATAAATTGAAGCCACTAATATTTAAAAATGGATCCACTACTAATGATAAGTACTTTGATTTATCAATTTGAATTTTTAAATCATAAACTTTCTCCCCTGTAATTTCTTGAATATTAAAAGTTCTTTGAAAAATTTCATCTCTTTCATATAGAATTGCTCTGAGTTCTTCTTTATTTTCATTTTGAATGAATCCAAAGGTAGAAACTAATACTAAAAATATTTGTTGATATTTCTTTTTATTTTCTCTTTCTTTAAATTTGATTAATTTAATTAAAATTTTTGAAATTTTAAAAAATATTGATTCTTTTAAAATTATATATTGGATTGGATTATTTATAGTTTGTATATTATTATTATTATTATTATTATTATTATTATTATTATTATTATTATTATTATTATTATTATTATTATTATTATTATTATTGTTATTATTATTATTATTATTATCGTCACCTCCATTGTTACCATTCTCTTGATTTGGATTACTTGGGGAGTAATATATATAAACTAATTTATTTTCTAATTGACTTTTCAAAAGGAGTTGATTATCATTATTTTCTTCATCTATATCTTCTTCATCTGGATCCTCTTTTTTATATGAATAAACTTCATTTTCATCGGTCTCTAAGATTGATTCATTAAGTTCTATTGATGATTCTCTAAATGATAGTCCGTTTAAGGAATTTAAGTCGTATGTGCTTAAAATTGAATGTGGAACTGAATATAATTTTTTTTTAATGAATGGTGACTTGTAAAGTGAATGAAAAAATGAATAGATTGAGTTTATTTCGAAATCATTTTCATTTTCTATTTGTATATCCTCTTGATTTGTTTCTAAATTTAATACTGTTTTGGTTGTTTTTGAAAGTAATAGCAATAATGAAAATAATAAATAAAATGTATCTAATTGATATGATTCATAATTAATATTTAATCTTTTGATATATTGCATTATTACCTTAATGATTTGTTTTGATAAAATCTTAAAAAATAAATTATTATTAATATTTTTTTTTTTTATTTTTTTTTTATAAAACTATCATAATATCTTACATTATTTAAAAGATTAAAGTTATTTAAAATTGATTCGAATATTATTATATGCACAGGTTGGGTTTTATCTATTACTGTTGATGATAAATAATTTTCTAAAAGTTTTAATAACTTTAATTCTCCTTCGTCGTAAGCATCTATTAAATAATTGCTATACCTTGAAGCAATTTTGATTTCATTTTCTTGGTTATTTTCATTACTTAAAATAATTCTTAAAAAAAAAATTATAAATAGTTTAGAAAATGATATTTAATTTAATCCTAAAAAAAATATATTTAAATACATACTTTTTTAAACTAATAAGTTGACTTTTACCAATGCCAGGATTAATTATATGTGAGCTATTATATAGGTGTGCTATAAATTGATCAAGTTTATTATTGTCATTGCTATTAAAATAGTCATTTAACAAACTATTGAATATATTATTATTATTTTCCATGTAAACTATATTATTTATTTATTATTAACATGCAGAGATCTCTTAATAAAAAAAAAAAAAAAAAAAAAAAAAAAAAGAAATTAAAAAAAAATTAAAAAAAATAAAAAATAAAAAAATAAAAAATAAAAAAATTTAAATTATTTATTATTTTTATTTGAATTTCATTAAACATTTAGATAATGTTTATTTATTTAGGTTATAAGATACATTTATTATAATTATAATTTTAGTTCAATTCTTAACATTAATCAAATATAATAAAATATAAAAAAACAGAAACCTAATTATTACCCAGTAATTTCGGAAAAAAAATTTTTTAATTTTTTTTTATTTTATTTTTTTATTTTTCATTTTGGACTTATTAAAATCCCATCGATTTGTAAAAGCAACACCCTACACGAACTTATAGCATTTATTTTTTATTTTTTTTTAATTTTATTTTATTTTTTTTCAAAAACTAACACCATCTTATCCAAAAAAAAAAAAACAAAAAAAAAAAAAAAAAAAAAAAAAAAATCATTATCGTATACGGTATACTTTAGTATTTATTAAAAAAATGATTATTTATAATAATAATAGTTATTTATTTTTTAAAGTATGGGGGTAAGAATATATATAAAAAATGATTAAAAAAAAAAAAAAAAAAAAAAAAAAAAATTTCTAATTTTATTTTTATCATTTTTTACAATTAATAAAAAAAGAAATAAATATATTTTAAATATAATATTTTATTATTTAAGAATTTACAATAATGGACAGTTTCAAAAAATATTTAGATCAATTAAACAATTTGATAATTATCAATTTAAAAATTATTTGAATAATATATTTTTAGATATTGGAGAAAAAAGAGAAGAGGAACAACAACTATCCAAACAAAATATCAACAACGAAAATTATAATAGTTATAATAGAAATAATATTAATAATTTAATTAAATTACCAAAAAATATAATTAAAATCGAAATTTTTAAAAATTTTATATACAGTAATTTAAAAACATCATTAAATAATTATGATTTATCTAGAATAGAGTGTTTACAGATTGATATTCATTTTGATCAAAATTATTTTTTAAAAACTTTAAAGCCATTGGTCCACTTAAAATCGTTGCATTTAGGTATCAACTTTAACTCGCCTATAACCGCATACTCTCTACCAAGTAACCTCACCAGTTTGAATGTTGGAAGCACATTTAATCAAAAAATAGAAGAGAATTCTTTATCTGTTGTTCCGTTAAAGTATCTAGAGTTTGGTTTAAAGTTTAATCAGCCATTAGAGATAGAAGGTTTACTTCCAGATACCCTAGAAAGCTTAAAGTTTAATGGCAATTTTAATATGAATTTATTATATTTGCCATCAAGTTTAAAAGAACTATCTTTTGAAAGCTTTAATCAGCCCATTGAATACAAGCAGTTTAAAAGTGCATCATCCCTTCGTTATTTAAATATGGGTAAAAAGTTCAATAATATCATTTCGTCCAATTCGCTTCCAGATTCATTAGAGATCATTGATATGGGATCATCATTTAATTGTGAGTTCTTTTCATTCGATCTTTTACCTACTGATAGTCTAAAGAGTATTCATATGGGTGATAATTTTAATCAAAGCATAGAATTACAACAGCTTCCACATACTGTAGAATCCATCTGTTTTGGCAACTCCTTTAATCAACTTTTTGATGCAAATGAATGCTATGACCAAGACGACGACTTTTACTTTCATAATAGCTACAGCAATTTAAAAGAAATTGTATTTGGCAATAGCTATAACCAACCATTTTTATTTAACTCTAAAGATAAAACCATTTTCAATGGCCTTTACAATTTACAATCTATTGAGTTTGGGCTATCTTATAACCAACAAATACCGGTAATATCGTTTTTGAAGCAACTTAAAAAGATTGTTTTGGGTAATGGTTTTAATCAAAATATAGCTCCCTACACATTTCCCCAGACTTTGGAGCACTTGTCATTCGGTGATGACTACCATCAAGATCTACAAGAAGAGGGTGAATACATATTGCCAAGCAGTTTAACCTATCTTTCTTTTGGTTCAAGCTTTAGAAGTCCACTAAACCATCTCTTAAGAAATCATTTAACAAACCTTTGCTTCTTAAGATTAGGGGGTTCATATCAACACCATATATCACCAAATGAATTACCAAAGTCTTTAAAAACACTCGAGTATAAAACCAATTGTTCAGAAATACCCATCGATGCTATTCCTTTCAACAGTTTAATAATTCACCCACATTTTTATAAACAAATCGAATCAATACCCCCATCAGTCACCAATATAAATTTCCCAGAAACATTAAAAAAACAATTAGTTCAAGGCTCTTTACCATCAACAATAAAGTCTATTGTATTCTATAACTATTATTATGATTTAGTGCCCAACTCAATCCCAGGTAAAGTCGAATCCATTCAATTTAAAAGCAATTATAATAGAGAGATTCAAGAGGGATCATTACCCAATTCAGTAAAATATTTATTTATAGGCGATGGTAATCCAATACTAAAATATAACTCAATACCAGATTCATTAAAAACTATATACTGTTATAATACAAATAATAGATTTATAGAAAATAGCATAGACAATAATTTTTATCATTTATTAAAAATAATAAAAAAATAAAATATAAAATATAAAACAATCAATTGAGATTGTTAAATTTAAAATAATTTATTTACAATTAATTATTTGATTTTTTAATTGATCTTTGAGCAACTTTAGTATAACCTCTGTATGAGGTTGAATCTAACAAGTCGCATTTTGGATTGTTTGAAGTCTTATCTAATGATTGGAAATCATCGACGATTACTAATGTTCTATTTTTGGTTGAAAGAACTGGTTCCCAGGTTGGTACTTTAATACCTTGATTTGGATTGTGAGTTGTAGCAAAGTTTACAATATAGTTGTTGAGTGTTTGAGCCATGTCGATTTCATCGTCATCAAGATCTTCATCCATAAGTTCGTAGCTGTTAAAGACGAGACTCAATTCTTCACCATGACAAACATTACCATCGCAGATTGGAGCTGGACCTCCAGTTGATTTAACATGTGCGTAATAATAGTGGTATACTGGAGAGTTATGTTTTGCAACTAATTGGTTAACATGATATCTACCTGGACATTGGAATAAATAGTCGTTCATTAAATTTGAACAAGCAGCGCTTGAATCACCTGCTTGACCAGGGTATAAAGAAAGGATGTTATTTTTATTACCTGGGAATAAGAGACCAACAGTTGTGTTATAGATCAATTGGCTAAGACCATTTGGGAATGCAAGATTTATGAAAATAATACCTTCATCTTTAACATCACCAATAATAGTTGGGACATCGTGGGTTTCACCATCTTTAATGGCAGTTAATGGTTGTTTTGGAATAACATTTCCATCAAGAATTGGGGACCAGATGGTAAAAGCATCTAAAATATTATCACCCAAAAGCATATTGTATTTAACTTTTGATTGAGCCTCTAAAACTTCATCCATTGATTTACTACGGAGACATTCTAAATCATCAACATCTGGACATCCGAGATGTTTATTGAATCTTTTGGCGAAACCTCTAGCAATTGATTTTTCTTTGACACCAAGAGTTAATGGAGTTGATGAAAGAATAGCAGCTTGGAAATATGGTTTTGAATATGGTGAAACAAGATGTGTTGCAACTGAGAAAGCACCTGCTGATTGTCCATAAATTGTAACTTTTGTTTTATCACCTCCAAATGCCTCGATGTTTTGATTAACCCACTCTAATGCTTTAATTTGATCTAAAAATCCAAAGTTACCGCTTAATAAATCCTATTATTCATTTTTATAATTAGTATTTTAAAAATTTTAAAATTTACAAACAATAAAAAAAATAAAAATAACTTACAGTTCCTAAGAAACCAAATACACCTAGTCTGTAGTTGGTATAACGAAAATAACTGATGAGTTGGCAAATTTAGAAGCATCGTAAAGTGGAACTGCACCACTACCTACTGAGAAAGCACCACCTGGAATAAAGACAATAACTGGTAATTTAGATTCTGGATTTGCATTTCTTGGTGTAAATACATCAAGATATAAGCAATCTTCTGATGGACCAAGTGGAGAGCAAGCACCTTCACCAAGAGTACATCTTTGAGCACATTCTGGTTTTTGTTGGGTGGCATCTCTAATGTGTTTCCATTCTTTAACATCAATTGGATCAATCCATCTATAATCATCTACTGGTGGTTGAGCAAATGGAACACCATAGAAAACACGATGAGTATCCTTAACGAGACCATTTAAAGCACCTATAATCAATTTAATATATTATAATGTTAGTAATTGATTATATAGAAAACAATTATAGTAATTATTATTAATACATACCTTTTGGTGTGAATACTATACTGGAATCAGTTTTGGTAAAATGTGATCTTCTTCTGGCTAATGTAACATTAATTAATAATAAGATAAAAACAAAGGTTAAAATTTTATTCATTTTTATATATATATTATTTATATAAATATTTATATAAATTATATTGAATAACAATAAAATAATGAATTCATTTTCTAAAAAAATTGTGTGGTATTTATATTGAAAAAAAATTATATAATTTTTAAAATATTATTAAAAAAAAAAAAAAAAAATATGGTAGTTTATAATAGCTTCTTAATTTGGTGGAAATATCCATGTTTGATAATGTTGATTTTTTGTTTTTGAAAAAAAAACCAATTACTTGTAAAATATAATATTAAAATTTTGTTAAACCCCCTATTTTTACGGAAAAATCAACATTAAAAAATCAAATATATAAAATCAACACCACCAAAAATTACAAAAAAAATACTTTTTAAAATAAATAGTTTAAATTTGCATGAACGTGATTGAATTTAAAAGGGTGAAAAAAGGTTTGATTAGAGAGGTTTGAAGGTGGTTTAGTAGGCGCATGTGGTGTGCAGCGTGTATGTGGGGGGTATTTTTATATGGTGGTTTTTTTTTTTTTTTTTTTTTTTTATCTACATATTTTTTTTTATTGCAATTAAAATTGTTATTGAGTATTTAAATCTATAAGCAAAGAAATGTAGTTATTAAAAAATTACATTAAAGTTGAGTGTTGATGTTGTTTTTTTTTTTTTATAATGGGGAAAGAGATATAATTTGAAATTTAACCAATTATAATTTTACTTTTTATGAAAAAAAAAAAAAAATTTTGTAAAAAAAAAAAAAAAAAAAAAATTTAAATATTTAGAAAAAAAAAAAAAATTATTGGGGCTCCAACGAGATTTTAATTAATATAAATTAAATAGTGAACACCTCGCTCATGATCATGTTCAAAAATTTTTAAAGGTGGTGATGTAAAAAAATTATCAAAAGACAAATTCATAAAAAAAAAAAATTTTAAAAAATAAAAACTCACAATAAAATATGAAACGACACAAATCTAACTATATTTAATTGAACTATAGTTAGTAGATAAATTTAAAATTATAAATTTATCTTTCGGAACTGTTATTAATTTTTATTGTATTAAATTAATACTATTAATTATTATTTTTTTTATATTATTTATTTTTTGTGTAGCCTCTGTATGAAAGTGAATCGAATAAATCACATTTTGGATCTACTGTAGTTTTGTCTAATAATTCGAAACCATCTTGAATGACTAAAGTTCTATTTTTTGATTTTGAAACTGGCTCCCAAACAAGTGGTGTATCGAGGTCACCTTGATTTGGATTATGGGTTTTGGCAAAGTTAACAATATAGTTATTGAGTGATTCGGCGAGATCGACTTCAACATCTTCGAGATCTTCGTTAACCATGTTGAAACTATTAAAAAAGAGACTTAACTCGGTTCCATGACAAACATGACCATTGCATGGTTCAAATGAATGACCAATTGATTTTACATGATTGTATTGGTAATGATAAACTAATGGAGAGCTTTCACTGATTTGTTTTGCAACTAATTTATTTACATGATATCTACCGGAACAACGGAATAAATAGTCATTGATAACTCTTGCTAATGCTGGTCTGGCATCGGTACCAGAAGCAGGGTACTTAAGAAGAACTCTACCCCATGTAAGTGGGAACATTGAAGAGAGATAGCCTGGGTAAAGGAGTGGACTAACTTTCTTTTTGAATGCCAAGTATACGAAAAGAATACCTTCATCTTGAACGTCACCTATTATAGTTGGAACACTATGGGTTTCACCATCTTTAATAGCGGTTAATGGTTGTTTTGGAATAACATCCCCATCGACTACAGGTGACCAGATTGTAAAAGCATCCAATATCTTATCACCGAGTTGTAATTTAACTTGTTCTTGAGCTTCTAAAACTTCATCCATTGTTTTACTACGGAGGCAATCAATATCTTCAACATTTGAGCAACCTACTTTATTTGCGAATCTGGTAGCGAAACCTCTGGCAGTAGATTTATCTTTTAAGCCAATTGTCAATGGAGTTGATGAAAGAATAGCAGCTTGGAAATATGGTTTTGAATATGGTGAAACAAGATGTGTTGCAACTGAGAAACTACCTGCTGATTGTCCGTAAATTGTGACTTGTGCTTTATCACCTCCAAATGACTCGATATTATTATGGACCCACTCTAATGCTTTAATTTGATCTAAAAATCCAAAGTTACCGCTTAATAAATCCTATTATTAATTTTTATAATTAGTATTTTAAACATTATAATGTTTACAAACAATAAATAAAATAATAATAACTTACAGTTCCTAAGAAACCAAATACACCTAGTCTGTAGTTGGTATTAACGAAAATAACTGATGAGTTGGCAAATTTAGAAGCATCGTAAAGTGGAACTGCACCACTACCTACTGAGAAAGCACCACCTGGAATAAAGACAATAACTGGTAATTTAGATTCTGGATTTGCATTTCTTGGTGTAAATACATCAAGATATAAACAATCTTCTGATGTACCAACTTCAGAGCAAGCACCATCACCAAGATTACATCTTTGAGCACATTCTGGTTTTTGTTGAGTAGCACTTTTTATATATCTCCAATCTTTAGCTTCAACTGGGTTTTCCCATCTTAAAGCATTAATTGGTGGTTTAGCAAATGGAACACCATAGAAAACACGATGAGTATCATGTACAATACCTCTAATAGCACCTATAATCAATTTAAAAATATTAATAAAATGAAAATAATAATTAATGTATTGATCGATTTATTTGTACAAACCTTTTGGTGTGAATACTAATTCTGGGTCATTATAAGTTTTAACTACTCTTCTTTTTGCGGCAATCGAAATATTAACTAATAATAAAATTAAAAACAAAGTTATTATTTTATTCATTTTTTTTTTTTTATTTTATTTATATAAATTATTATTTATTTGAACTATAATGAATAACTTTATTATTTTTAAAAATGATTATGAAATTATTGTATGATAAAAAAAGAAATGATTTTTTTTTTTTTTTTTAATATATTATATTTTATTATTAAAATATTAAAAAAAAAAAAACCATTTTATTATAAATGGTTGCATCCTCTTTAATAAAATGTTGAAATATCATTATTTAGAAGAGAGCTCTACCATTTTACAAAAAAAGCTTTTTTTTTTTTTAAATGTGTGGGTGTGTGGGTGTAAAACTGTGTGAAAAAACTGAAAACATCCACCAACAACAAATATTATAAGATATTAAAAATTTATTATTGGAAAAAAAAAAAAAAAAGACATGTGCACAACACCGTAAAAAATTTACTGGAGCTATGAAGAGATTCTAATTAATTAATAAAAACAAATTTTGTGAAAAAAAAAAAATATCAAAAACTGATAAATCATAATTTTTTTCGGGATTTTTCTATTGTAAAATATAAAACTAATGATAATAAAATACAAAAAAATTAACGAACCAATAGTTTTTTACCTCACTTTTTTATATACAAACCATTAATATTATAAAAAAAAATATAAAAAGAAATTAATTAAAACACATGAAAAAAAATTAAAAAAAATTAAAAAATTTTTTTTTTTAAATTTCAAAAAAAAATTAAAAAATAAAAAAGGTAAAAACCATAAAAAAAAAAAATACACAAAAAATAATCATTATAAATAATAATTATTATTTTAGAAAAGAAAGAAGTTTAATTTAATTATTTTAAAATCAATTAAAACTAAAAAACTATATTTTTAATTTAATATATTTAAAAAATCAAAATCCCCAATTTTTTTAATAATATTAAACGTCCAGAAAACCTCATACTATTCAAAAATCAACCCATCAAATGAATTCTATTGCTTTAGATATTAATATTTAGATATTCCCTCCTTTTATCTATTATTATTATTAAACTTACAAAAACAATAAAATAAATTTTAAGAAAAAAAATAAATAAAAATTAAAATTAAAATTTTATATATTGCTTAGAATGAATATAATTTATTTATTTTATTAATAAATTACCAAGCTTTGCAGTGACCTTTGGCTGTTTATTGTTAAAAAAAATATTAGTATTTTTTTTTTTTGAAATTTAAAAAATTTGTGATACTTACAGAATTGGCAGTGTTGGATATAAACTAAACAGAGAGCAATATCTTTACCAAGAGCTTTGCAACTATTTTAAAATAATAATAATAATAGGATTAATTAGTATTTATTTATTTTATAAACTAATGAAAGTTGGTACTTACGCATCGGTCCAATCATCATAACCAAAACCAAGTGATCTTGGGGTTGGTTGGATTTCTGGTTCAACTGGATCAACATTTAAAGCTTTAGTTGAAACAAAACAAGTTGAGATTAAAAGGAAAATAACTAATAAGAATTTGAAATTCATTTTTTTATAATTGTACAAAGGGTATTGATAATAGTGGATGGTGAAAAAAAAAAAAAAAATAAAAAAAAATCTAATGGAATTGGAGGTTTTAAAAAAATAATAAAAAAATAAAAAAATAAAAAAAAAATAAAATTTTTTTTTGAAAAATAAAATTGTTGTTGGATCCTGGTTTGAAATATTATTTAAATTTGATGATGGTTTTAAAATCAAATTTCACATTTCAGTGCGTGTGCGGAAATTAAATTTGGTGAAATAAATAAATTGTTTGATATAGATATAAAAAAAATAAAAAAAATAAAACAAAAAAAAAAAAACAATTAATAAATAACCTTTTAAAAATAGTTTTTCGTTTTTTTTATTTTTTAAATTTTTAATTTTTATTTTTTAAAATTTTTTTTTTTTTATTTTATTTATATTTTTTAAAAAAAAGATTTATTTGTTAAAAAAATGTCAGAAACAACACCAATAAATACTACCACAACTACAGCTGCCGAAGAACCTAAAATTGAAGAAACCAATACAGCAGAAGAAACTATAGTATCAAGAGTTGGATTGGGCGAAATTGTAACAGAAAATAAAAAAGGTGAATTTGATGACGTTATTGAAAAAAAAGTCGTAGCATGGATGAAAGAACAAGTAAATAATGAAAAAGTAAAAACAATCTATTATCTTGCAATTATTATTACAACAGCAACAACTCTATAAAAAATACTTATGTTATTATTTTATTTTTTAGAAACGTATTATTAGTTTAGGTTCAAAATCAATTTTGGTAGATGTTAAAAATGCAGGTATAGTTAAAGAAGACAATAAAATAATAAATAGAATGGAGTTAAATACAAGTTTCGATTTTAATAAAGTTACACAAATTATGGTAAGCGATAGTATCGAATGTCCAATGAAAAAAGGTTATTACTATATGAATGTTTTATTATTTGCAAACAATCCAATACCCTTATTAGTTCCATATATTTACTTAAAATCCACAGAAAATAAATTAAATGATTGGTTGTTTATTAACAATCAATTCCAAAGAAGTCAACATAGAATTAACGAATTTAAAGATGTATAAAAATAAAATAAAATAAAAAAATAAAATGAAAAAATAAAATAAAATGAAAAAATAAAATAAAAAAATAAAATAAAATAGAACAATTTTAAATAAAGTTATCAAGAAGAATTATGATCAGTTTAATTAAAAAACAATTGTTATATAAATTTTTATTGATTTTTACATAGATATTAAATTCTCAATTTGTTTAAATTTTAAAAATTTAATTTTATATTGTATTATTTTATTTTTATTTTTATTTTTGTTTTTGTTTTTTTTTTAAAAAAGATTTGGTGTGAAATAAATAAAAACATTGGAAATTTAGAAAAGGTTTGTACTTTTTAACATTGATAATAAGTAGTTTTTATTTATTTATTTTTTGTAAAAACTATTGTTTTATATTTTATTTTGAATTGTTCTTTAACGAACACTAGTTAGTGTTGATTCTTAACAATAGACTGTTTCAATGGTGCAAATAAAGAGTTTAGACACTATGTGGTAGATAACTATTATTATTATTATTGTTATAAATTTATTTTTGTTTATTTCTTTATTTTTTTAAACTGTAATTAGATAAAAAAATTGATTTCTATTGGGTAATTTTAAGTTCTAAGAAATTTATAAAACACATTAACACACATTAACACACACAAACACACATTATAACCAAACATTCCCCCTTCATTTTTTTTTTTATTCTTATTTTTTTTTTTTTTTGTTTTTAAAAATGTTACTATTTATGATGTTATATATTGAAAATAAAATTAAAAAAATTTTCTATATATTAATAAAAAAAATACAATATTTATGTGAAACATACCACACAATTTTGCCAATAAACAATAAAATGTATAATAACTAATAAAATAAATGCCTCATTTATATTTTCTTTTTTATTTTAATTTTTTTTTTTTCTATAATTACAAAAAAAAAATTTTGTTATATCATTTTAAATATTTAAACAATCAAAAAATGGGGTCGGTTATAAAACTATGTTATGGATTTGGTTGTACATACCCTAATGATCCGAATAATTGTATAGATGCCACTAAAAAAGATATTCTTTCTATAAAAGAGATCTTTGAACAACTTCAATTTTATATTAAAATCCTGGATCGGGATGTTACAAAAAAAAACATAAAATCAAGTTTTGAAGAATTTATTTTAGGGTACTATAATGAAATAAAAAACTCATATTTTACTGAAGAAGGGGTAATAATGGATATCGTTATTTATTGTACTGGACATGGGTTTATTGATTCCAATGGTAAAATATAATAAAATAAACTACTATGATATAAACTTAAACACATTTTAACTTTTTAATTGTTAGGTTTTCAGTGTATCCATACAGAAGATAGAAAAGGTGTTATATCAATAAACTATTTTGCCCATTTATTATATAAACTAAAGGATGAAATAAAGAGAGATCTTAAAAAGGATTATCTATATTCAATTAAAGTTGATGCAGAAAAATTGATTTTTGAAATTGATAAATACAAAAATAAAAATAAAAATAAAGTGGTAGAAGAAGGAAATTCTGTGTGTAGTTATACCAAACTTTCAATTAAGAATAAAATAATATATTTAAAAGATATTTGTAAAAGATTGGAAGAAAATAAAGAAAATTATGGGGATATAGTTTTGATGTATAAAAACTTCCTATTCTATCATATTGGCAGCTTAGAAACAACAATAAAATTATTGGAAGTGTCTTTAAATGAAAATAATAGTGAAGAAAGAAGGACAGAACTTTTAGGAAAAAAAGAAAAGAAAGAAAATATTAAGAAACTAATGGAGGACTCTGTGTTGGAAATAGTAAAAAAAGAAATAATTTTTAAAAATAATAACTCAAAGGAGTTTATTAAAATTGTTTTTATCGGTGATTGCTGCAGAGTTGTAAAAAAAAAAAACACTGAAAGAAAAGATTGGGTTCCAAACTACCCAGCAGTAAGTTAAATTGTTTAAAGAATAATTAAATATTAAATTCTAATTTATTTTTATTTTTAATAGGGAGTAGCAGTTTTAACCCCAACCAATCCAAAAGAGCATGCCTTTTTTGAAAATGGGAATTCATATCTAACGAGAAAATTGGTTAGTATTATAAAGGAGTATCTAAAAGGTCCAATAGAACCCCTCCTTCCTGATATTGTTGCTAAATTAAAAAATCATGATAATACTTCCAATTCAAATCTCCACTGTCCCTTGGAGTGCATAGGTTTTAAACTGATAGATTTTAACTATATCAAAAAAATGGAAAAAATTAAAGAGTTACAAAACCAACACCCTCAAACTACTCCAACAACAACCACAACCACAACAACCACAACCACAACCACAACAATAAACAATTCAACGAAGTATACCATCCCCTGCCCAAAAAAAAGTAGTAAATAAATAATAATAATAAACTGTATCTTTAATTTTTAAAAAAAAAAAAAAAAAATATCTATTTATTTTTTTATGTTTTATTTTTCTTTATTAATTTACCAAATTATCCGGTAAAAGTAAAGGAAATATATAGTAATAATATGAATCACCCAAACCCAGGAAGGTAATTGAATTTGTAAGTATTCTTGAATTTTTTGAATAGTTGTAATCAAACACACCATTATCAAATGTATCTAAATATTTTATTTGGTTTAATTGATTTATTTCTTTTTGATATTGTTGCAGATCGGCATCATATTCTACATTTACATTGTTTGATAGGGTCATCTTTGTTTGATAATATAAAAACTTTTGATATGCTGTTAAATTATTTGGGCATGGAACATCTACATAAAAAAATGCTGGAGAAACAAAGGTCCCAAGTTTATCTAATATATCATTTTTGGTTGCTATGCTATCGACTGATTCAATTGGGTGGTCCATTAGTGTTATATTTGTACTATCATTTAAATTTTGAATTACTTGATTACTAAATGGGTTAAAATTTTGATTTGAACTAAATTTTAAAAAACTATTAAACTTTCCAAATGCTCCAAATGCTCCAAAATTACTAAAATAAAAACCACTTGTATCTATTAAATTACCACTATAATTATTATTATTATTATTATTATTATTATTATTATTATTATTATTATTATTATTATTATTCCCATTATTATTACCATTACCATTACCATTATCATTACCATTACTACTACTATTTCTATTTATAAATTCATTTTTATTTTCTTCTTCTTCGTCGTCTCTTTTTTTATTTAACCTATTAAATTCATCCTCTTCTATATCTGAATCATCCCAATTATCTCTTATAACTTTTTGATCATCTTCTTCCTCTAAAATTGGTACCTCAACTAAATTAAAAATTTCTCTTGGATCTTTATTTTCCCAACTCTTTGATAAAGATTGTATTTTCGAACCATTTTTTGATAATTTTGATGTCTGAGGATCTATATATTGATTATTTACTTGTTGTTGGTTTAAATTTTTGATTTCTAATAAAACTTTTTCTTTTTGTTCCTTTTGCAATTGCTCGACAACATTATTTTCGGTTTCTCTTTGATCAACTTCTTGAAAATAACTTTCGAATTCATCATCAATCACGTTTGAAGAGTTGAATTTTTCATGGATTCTAGAGATTCCGTATATTAGTCTTGTAATCGGATCTGAATTAATGATATCTGAATTTTGAAAACCATATTTTTTAAATTTTTTAACCAACTCTGAATCGGGTATATCTAAACCATATTTGTCTTTTAATGATACAATCTTCATTAATTTCTTTTTGTGATTTTGCATTTTTAGTTGAAACTGTTCTACAACGATCAACATTACTCTTAAGCAATCTGGATTAAAATAACCACTCTTTTGGCGTAAATCGAAAACTTTCAATAGTAGTTTCTTTAAGTTTGCTGGTGAAAAGTTAACTAGATTCTCTGGTGATAAAAAATCAATTAGCATTTTATATTTCTCCTCTATAGGTATACCATTTGTATCCAATAAATTTAAAAAATAATCTGAAAATGAATTTTCTTTATCATTTGAAATGGTTGGAACATTTGAAAGAAACTCGTCAAATTTACTTGAACTAAATATTTTTAAGTTGAGTGCTGATGATTTGGAAATAGGTGTAGTGGATGGTATAGATGTTGGTAGTGATGATAATAATGATGATGAAGATGATGATGACGTTCGAGATATTGATGGTGATGATCGAGACGGAGATGGTGATGAAGGTGATGGTGATACCGAAGAGGGTGAATCATTGGTTGCAATTGCAGAGTTGATTGTTTTAGATGTTGCTGTTGTCATTGATTCTTTACTTGAACTACCACTATTTTTAAAATTTTGGTCAATTCCATGTAGCTGGAATAAAGTTGGATTAAGAGAAATGAAACCCTCTAAAAAACTTGGGTTATGAAGTAAAAAATCGTTTAAGTGTTCATATTCTCTGTATTTTTTTTCTTCGATTGAGTTTTTGATTCGAGTAATTTTTAAGAGTTGTTCTAAATACTCTGTTCTGGTTATAATTTCCTGTTTCATTTTTTTTAATTTAAAA